TTGGATTTGTGTTCCTGGTGTTATAAGCTTTCCAAATATGTATAGTTTGTTTAATAGGGAGGACCTTGTAGCGGAACTGTGTTTCTAAGCAAGCTAAAAATTTTGGTTGCAGGCCTACTAGACTATACGACAAAAGTTGCCGGGCATAGAGGCGTTAATGTAAAAACGGACCACATTACCATTTCTGAACGAATAAGAGATCTTAAATTCTTAACAACTGGATATATCATAAATAATTCTCAATACGGCTTAAAATGGTGCAAAGGCATAGTAGATGAAATTAAAATGACTCACTATTTTGGTGAAATGTCTTGTGATCTGTGAGATCCAAAATAATCAATTCCATCATATTATGCCCCATTGTATTGTTTATGGGGTGTGTGTTTGGGGGGGGGGGGGGTCGCATAGGATGTGTCATTTTTAGCAGTATCATTAACATCATTTTCAGCATTATTTTTGAGTTTTTATTCATGTTCAGTGACTCTGAAAACCCTATAAAAGAGACATTATAAGCTATATAAAACAGTCATTCATGTTATGGAAATTCTGACCGCCATTTTGAATTTTCCCCATCTTGGATTTTTAAAACTCTTTGTTTAGATTAAACAAACATTGTGCAAGAGCTAAATCTGCCTATTGTAGGTCTTTCTTTAGGCATGAAATGTTTTCTAAATTATTATTTAGACATTAATTAACTGACCCAGACCATAATCAACTCTCGATGGCATCGGATTTCTCCGATATTAAATAAATTAGAACGTATCAGTCATATTTTGATTTAATCTAAAAATGGAGGAGCGAGACTTAGCTTCGAGCAACCAGTACAGTTGTTGAAATTATTGCACGTGTCTTGTCAAACCTTCAAAGGCAAATATCTTCGCTTGCAATAGAGTAATTTGAATGAAATTGTCAAATTATTCATTTTACATTATCTATTTTCGAACTTTTGTAGCAAGAATGGCTAGCTCTTTATCTAAATCTTACGTAATGAATCTTTAATTGTAAGCTCATTGGATAGTACATGTCATATCAAACAATGAAATGACTATTATCTGACATATTGGCCATTTTAGGAAATTTTGTCGCCATTTTGAATTTCCGCCATCTTGGATCTGGGACACTCATATTTGAGATTATTTTTTATGATCAATGTTTCTGATATCTATTCAATCACTTAAGTTGACCAAACAGATAATTTGGCTTATATGGGTCTGAACACGATTTGTTAGTAAACATACGAACAGACATGAAAAAAAAAATTCGAAAATGTTGCTTTTTTCAGATTAATCTTTTATTTTAAAACTGTTAGTATTGATTAAACAACATATATCATATACCAGCAGATGCAGAATGATATTATGAACATTTTGAGATATATTACATATCCATATAGGTGAAACTGTTGAGGAGTTATGCAGGCTTCCCCGACTCGCACTATTTCAAATAAGAAAAAAAACGGCGGCCATTTTTTTTAAAAATGGCCGCCAAACTGACATTTGGCAAAGTGACCCGGAAGTCCATCAACCAATTTTGGACACTTTAGACCTAAAGCTAACTGAAAATCATAGTTAAACCAATTCATCAAATTGGTAATGAATATCTGCCTGTCACATGGACTAATGTATCTGTTATCAGTCGGCACTTCAGCCAGTTATATTGAGGTATATCTCGTGTTTTCCTTTGGCGTTCGTCACTTCCGATTCGGGAATCCTGTATTACTCAACTATCGCATCAGTGATCTCTCTGTTAAAAATATATTTGGAATGTGTTTAACCAGTTCTGTCACATATGTGATAATGACTGGCACCAATATTGTCCTTTAAGACAGATGGCACGACAGTTGGGTCACCATCCCTCGCCCATTAATCGATTATTGCAAAAACATCAACACAATGCATGGAGTGGCTACATTACTTCTGCAAGTTAATGAATGAATGAAATTGAGCTTTATCGCACATCAGCTCCAACCGGGATATATTGCGCCAAACATATGGTGAAATATGAGATAGACTAAATTGTATCACTAAAAGATGTAAAGTTTTCTCCGCGGTGTAAACATTTTCTCCGCGATGGAAACTTTTTCTCCGCGGTATAAAAAAAGGTTTACACCACAGAGAGAAAACTTTATACCGCATAGAAAAGGTTTTACGTGGTTTTTGTACGGAACCGCAAATATTGATTTGTTTTTATTATGTTCCAGTGTTCATAAGACTGATAGTTACAACAACCTATTAGAATCTACTATGACTGCTAGATCTACTTTAAGGTGTTTAAAATCAATTCCGGTTTTGATATTTTTAACGTGTATAATTAATATGGTTATACACCATTTCAATCCAACCCACCATCAACAAATTAAACTAGTTACAGTTGGGGCTGTGGCTGCAGACAGTCAACGATGTTCTCTTATTGGCAAGTAAGTAATATTAAAGGCTTCCTCGACGATTTTAATTACACTGCCTTCAGTCATAATATTATAATTTCATTTTGTTTTGATGTCTTATTGTTGCTTTCTTGACGGGCTTCATGTGCAGATGGCCATGAGCGTGGAACTGTTGAAACGGATGTAACGGCTCTTTCCCAGTGTTCTTCTAGAAACTCCATGCCACTATTTGGTGTGTGTTTTAAACAATGAAACACAATGATATGTTTCATCATCATTAACTGTTGTCCATCCATTATATTTTAATTGAAAGTTATTGACCGAACCGATTAATAAGATTACAGTATTATAACCAAGATATCAATTGTCTACAATTAATTAAAACAGTCATCGACGTAGTCAATCTGATTAAAATACAGATCTCTGTTTCGTTTCGTTTTTTTTTATACTGTCGATGGTCTATACTACGTCTGACCGGTTATAGTGGAAGGTTGCGTCAGAGGTCATACGCGCGTCTTCTGATCCTTTGACATCAGACATTTGATTAACCAATCAGCGTTGATGTTTCTATTGTGTTATCCATAGTTAAGTGCACCTAACATCATCCAGAACGCGGGTTATATAACAACTTTTCCAGATCCTAGTGTAGCAAAGACAAGTGAAACAAAATTTTGAACTATAACAAAAAAACGAAACAAAATAGGATCTGTTTTTTGCAAAGTGTGTGCGTAGTACATTACTTAAAGGACAATGTTGGTGTCAGCCAATATTAAATATGTGATAGAAATGGACACCAACATTGTCCTTTAAAATATCTGTCAATATTGTATGTTTTAGAAATATTTTAGAAGCTGGTGGTTCGTCTGTAGATTCAGCTATTGCTACATTGTTATGTTGTGGTGTTCAACATCCTCATAGTTCTGGTATTGGCGGAGGTAAGACTTTAGCTGCATTGGCATCAACAATTGGTATGGGACTAAGCATTTATATTGCAACTAACTGTGGTATCCGGTATTACATGTAGACTTTATCTCCATTTCTGTAACATCCATAATAACTGCAAGGATAAATTAATTATAGGATCATTGTAGTTTAATAGCCGGTTTCATCGCCTTGTTTAGATAATTAATGCAGCATTTGAATTCGATTCACAAAAGAGGAACTGTTTTGGATTTTAACGTCCTATTGTTCTGTATCGACTAGTCTAATAGAGACAGGCATACGCCATGCAGTGAGCTATGGGGGGGGGGGATTTTATCCGGACGGCGGCGCTGCGGACTACTCTTATTTCACATTCTTTTGCATACACGCCAATGTGTACGAGGGACCTCGGATGTTCGTCAAAGACCCTGCAAGGCCCGGCGTCCTGCAACATTGACTAGTGGAAGTCACGCTGGAAATTCCGAGGGACTTTCTCGGCCAACAGCAGGAGCGAACCAGCGACTTCCTGATTAGCCACTGTGCCACCGCTGCTCCCTTACAAAATTATTGTGCACTAATGATTGTTTGTATACACATTGTATTCATTGTATTGTAGTGGTAGTCATAAAATTAAAACCACTATGCAATGCGTCTTTTTTTATATTACTTACTACTGTAATCAATGCTGTGAAATTATGGAAATGATGCTTATATATTTATTAAAAGAGTACAATTTCAGGAGGATTTTTTACAATATATGATCACAAATTGAAGAAATCGGTGATACTTGACGGTAAATCAAGGGTTCCAAATAAATCAAATATTAGCCATTATGATTTGAACTACAAAACTCATTTTACAGGTAACATTTGGGGTTTCTTTTACAACCACGTATGAAAGTCTTTCAGAAAAAGGTTCATATTATACAATGTTATCGTCAATATTACTCAATTATCTCATTTTTAGACCAATGTAATCAACTAAAAACACACAGGTTCGAACTATCACCCCTTTGAAAACGGATATCAATCTTTAAACAGGTATTCTGCAAGAGATAAATCTGCATATTGTAGGGCTTTCTTTATGCCTTAAATGTTATATAAATTATTAATTAGACATTAATTAACTTACCAAGACCATAATCAACTCTCGATGCCATCGTACAGTCTACATGTTCAACAGATTTAAATCCGATCTGCGGTTCAACGGCGGTAGATGATTTACCGTAACAATGACAATCGAACCTGCAGTGTTATTGCTTAGAGCGCAGTAATTTGACTGAAATTTTCAACATATTATGCCCCTTTAAAATCTATCTCGATTGTCAATATCGTTATATTTTTGGAAACTATTTACAACTATTTGACCTACATTTTTTTTCAAAAATCTGACGACATACTATCTCTCCTACCGTTGATTACAATTCTTGTTGCTTTATTTTAAAATTTAGAGCGATTCTTCATTTGGACATACATAATACATATTGAAGCGAAGTTGTTAACGACACAAAGGCTCCAGTTTTTAAAGGATTTGTTTCTATTAATGTGGTGTCAAACGGTGGAATCATGATCGGAAGAATCATATCGTTATTCAGCGTTCCGGAGTTTTTGTTCCAAAGCATAAAGTATAGGCGTATCTTAAATGGCAACGGCTTGTTAGAATTATTAACACTCGTTTTATAGGACCATTGGTAGTAGGAACTCCTACTGAAATTGCAACATTTTGGGAAGCTCACCAGAGATATGGTAAACTACCATGGAAAGACTTATTTGTTCCAACAATAGCAATGCTGAGGAACGGAGTGCCACTCTCTGGAGACAGCGTGAATAAAATGACCTATATGAAGAAAGTTTTACTGGAGGAGCATAATATTACTTTACACAAAACATTTGCTGGTATCTGGTAATTATCTTTTTTGTAATCAAATGGGGATTGACGTACTACCGTTCTGCTCCGACTGGACTACATAAGGCAGTTTTTGTGAGGGGGGGGGGGGTAAAAACTGGTTATGACAAATAGGGTGGGATAGTCACGCAGTTAGGATAATTGTTGTTGGAAAGGGGTTGATAGTAATTAAAGGTTTTGACATTACTGACTTTAGATACACGGCGCGTGTATGTTACTATTTGTTCGACACATCTGTGATATGTATCTGATGTTGACTGTAAAACATACATACGTTAGACACAATATGCATATTAGTCCGGCAGTTAAAGGGTTAAGCTTCGCAGCTGCGTACCTACAAAGTTGTTTCGCTGTTTCTATATTTATGAGATGTGTAGAACCAGATACTGAGTAATGCCACCTGGGCACCCTTGAGCGTTTATCAGAATATGCAAATTAAGTCCGCCATTACCGACATGCATTGGTGTCCAGGGTTTCTCCATCTTTTAAATTGATTTCTAATATGATTATTAGCAAAATAAATAAATCCCGTCATTATCGATAAGGCGGCTTTTAAATATATCGTCATCAATGCTTAAAGTGAAGTCTTCTGTGATGAAAATGGAAAAACTAAGAAGGAAGGGGCGATAATTTACAGACCCCAGTTACTACGAACATTTAAAAAAATAGCAGAACATGGAGCTGATTATTTGTATAAAGGAGAGGGTGCTGAATTGTTGATTTCAGATTTACAGAAGGAAGGTAATAGTATGATATCTTAATTATTTTATTAGATAAACAGTTGATTTTATACCCAATGATTTCTTCCTAACATTTTTTAATAATTGCCCATCCTTTAGTAAGAAGTGCTTATTACAGAACTTGACAAAACTCATCTGCGAGGAAAAGTAATTCCCCTTCCAAAATTCAGAATATATCTACCGTACACCGCGGACTATCTGCTAGTTTTCATTCTCAAAGCACGTACACATGATTAGAGTAGCTCCCATTTTTTTAAATTTTGAAACATGTAAATAATATGGTTTGAATATCACCCATATTACAGTTTTCTAGGTATTGCGAAAACCATTTAATATCTTGAAATTGAATGTATTTCAGGGGCTGTTCTCACGTTAAAGGATATGGAAGATTATTGTCCTTCTTTTTCCGATGCTCATAGACATGAATTCAAAAATTTTATCTTGACGTCAACAGACGGTCCACATTTTGGAATTATTTTGGCTTTTATTCTGAGAGTACTAGAGGGTAAGTAACGGCACAGTAAGCGATAATTCGCCGCTCAAGTGTCGTCTTAACTTTCTAAAAATCGCTAGTAATGTATCTTCATGATCTGGCTGGGAGGGCAAGTTGTCAGAGGAATTGAAGGGTGTAAAACACTTAACTTCCGATCAAGACGGGACTAACCAGTTTAAAAACATGAATGTAAATCAGTATATTATATACACTAATATTACATTAATATGTGCTCTTTTGGCCTTTTTCGTCCATTTTAGGTTCCAAGGAATATTTAAATTTAGCGTCTTTAACGCCACAATCAATCGACAAATATATCGCAGGCCAAATGAAAACAATGCGCCCCCCCCCCCCCCCCCGCACCCTTGAATTAACGATAATAATATAGTATCTAAATGAAATTTTACGTATGGAACTAATTAAAATCAGAATGGATACACATCGCTTGAAGCTGAATGGGGTCCAAACACGCGATTATCACGTAACACTGACCTAACATTGGCCATGAAACATATTGAGTATCCGAGAACATCCGTTTTAGGTGTGTTCTTGGATAGTGGTGATGATCTTTGTAGAAAATGCCATGATCATATGAAAAACAGCAGTTGCATCTGCCACCATCTTGGGATTCTGCTGCAGCTCAAACCTATTATGTCCCACTTCGATTACTGTAAAATTCTTCTCACTGATTTCCTCAAAAGAGTGGCCACGGGCTTTTCATATCGTTGACACATAGGCCCAGTTCTCGATAGATAAGTTCCATTGAGTACCAGTCACCGCTCGGACAGACCTTAAAATACTCTAAGATATCAGTGTGTCAATGGACAGACTCCTGATTATCTCTGTGAAATATTAATATAAATCAATTGTTTCATGATTATATACTACAGGTTACAACTTAACAGATGATCACTTCAAATCAGATACAGTTATACCAACATACCATTTATTGGCTGAAGTCATGAAGTGGGCTGATGCTTATTCAAAACATTTAGGAGATCCGAGGAGTTTGGCAGGTTTAGGAGAAGTAATTCAATTATTGTTTGTTTCAAAACCTCGCACCACTATCATATAAACACGTGACTTCAATTAGTTAGCACGATGTGTACTTTAATTTTAAAGTATTATAAGAAGATGATTATGTAGCTGATTATGGTTTGACGCGTGTGCTTTATTTCTTCTTCAAAGTATTGTATTAACTTGGTTCGAAGTATCCACAATAGAAATGGCTTTCTGCTTGTAGATATAAAATATATCTTCCGCAAAGTTAACCATACCATTATATACCAACTGTATTTTTATAAATATTAATACTCAATACTAAACAATGCAGAAAAATAGAAAATGATTTTTAAGTGCTTGTCCACAAGAAAACCATGCAAAATCGGGAAGGTGGGGTTTCGGCCGATGTCATTTATATTCACAGAGTTTGGTCATGCCAATGAGACTACTCGATAGCCAAAACCACCGATATCAGAAATTGGCCATAGCCAAGATATTTTTTCGTCAATTTTAGGCAATGTTAGCTCATATTTTTCGGGTGGAAAATGAGTTCTTATGAAACAAATGATTCAATATATGAAACAAACGAATAAATAAAGAAAGAAAAATCTATCTGTCCACTCATGGCGGCCATTTGGTTATTCCGGAAGTGTATAGATATAAAACAGAATAAACTGTTCCTTTACCTATTCATGTTTAAGTTACGGATAATTTCTGCATTTTAGTTTATGCAATCGTTGGGTACAGAAGAAATGGCTGAAAGAGTAAGGAAGGGAATAAACCATGCCAGGACCCAAGAAAGTAGCCATTATGTAGACGTAGCTATTGATGATGTGCAATTGCACGGCACAACGCACGTGTCAATTTTAGGTACGGACGGAGACGCAGTTTCAGTAACAAGTAGTATAAATAATTAGTAAGTATCACAATAGATATAGCATAAATCCACAGACGCTTTTAAAATCTTTCAAAAATACAGTTAAGCTGGGTCTAAGTATTGCACCTAAAGTATACTAAGCAGCAAAAAAAAAACCGTCAGGTTGGTATGTTACTCTGAATTGACGCATTGCATAAAACTTGCCAAATGTTTTTATTGTATATTTGTGACCACATCTCCAACTTTACCTGAGCAATAAGGCTCCTTCCCAAACACAGAATTGAACGCAACGAGACTTCTGAAATGATAATGTGTTCTCCATGATTTTCATGTAACTCATGCTGCACGTGTTGTTCACCGGAACCAGCCCTATAAAATGCACCCATATCTTGTTGAATCATTCACACCACAACGTCAGCAGCATGCCACGACTCACGACAGCTCAGAGGAACCAGGTACTTGGAAGACTTGACGCTGACCACACTGCCCAAGCCGTTGCAGTTCAGACCATCTACAGGCTTCAGCAACGCTTTCGGACCACCAACACCACATGGAAGACCCATCAGTACCGATATAGTGCGCCGACGTCTCACCAGAGAGAACATCCATTGCCGTTGACCGATCCTCACCCCTCGCCATCGACGTGAACTTCTACAGTTTGCCCAACAACGCCAGAACTGGCGACACAGGCAATGGGGAACTGTTCTGTTCACAGATTAGAATCGGTATTGCGTATTAACTGCAGGTGGCAGGACCAGAATATGACATCGACGTGGCCAGCGTTATTCTGACCAATGTGTCATGAAACGATACTTATGGGGAGGTCCAAGCATAATGGTTTGGGGTCGAATCGGCCTGAACCAGAGCGTGGGCCCTGTCGTGTTCCAAAATCTTGGTCCAGGGATAGGAGACGGCATCAAAGGAGTGCGCTACATCGATCAAGCTCTCATTCCACATTTCGCACGTTATCGAAACAACGTTTTGCATCAGGATAACGCCCGTGCCGGCACCGTCAGAGTTATTATTATTATTATTATTATTATTAAGAACATTTATATAGCGCACAATTCGCATAGTGCTCAAATGCGCTTTACAAAGTAAGTAGTAAAAACAATATAAAACAAACAAAGTACAGTACAATAATTCAGAAATAAAATAAACTAACATAAACGTGAAACTGTAGAATTTCTTTAAAATGTCGTAGAGAAAGAACAAGCAGCCTTATGCGCTCAAGTCCACTCCAGAGTTACTCGGGACTTCCTACAGCAGATGGATTGCGCCCGGCTTTTCCTAGAGTGTGGTTCCAGGTGCCAATGGCGTTCATTAACCGTCCACTCCATGTACAGACGCTGCGCTGCTGTTATTGACACTCGCGGTGGACACACCAGGTACTGATGCATAGATTGTGTAGAGACTCTAAACCTTCCCGTAATGATGAATTAATCACTAATGTGTCAACATACTGTTCACAAAATATTTCTTTGATCCATTTAGTAAGTCTTTTTCTAGAATGATTTGATTAAAGTGTCTCTCTGATTTTGAAATCGTACTGACGTTTTTTTGGGGTTTTTTTGCTGTTTAGTATATATTACGAGCATATTTATATAAGGGAGACAGTAAAACTTAGAGGCAAATAATCGACTGAAAGTGCTTCGCATTCTGTAATATCAACTCAGTTCGGAGTCCAGCTTACTTACAAGACAGTTTCCACCACTGTCGTCATAGGTGGGGGTGGGGATGGCTGAATGGTTAGCGTGCGCGCGCTGTATCATAAAGTCTGTCATTGAGTCGACTGGCGTGGTTTCGAATCCCCGGTTCTACGTGACAAGGAGTAGGGTCGCCTGTCCAACCTCGTGGGTTTTTTCCGGCTCCTCCGGTTTCCTCCCACTACTAAAGACCCCTACGCGGAAGCGAATTATTGAAATAAAATTAAACCATATGTTAGTCCCGAAATGACCTAGTTTGTGTCGAGTGGACGTTAAACCCCATTTCTCTCTCTCTCTCTCTCTCTCTCTCTCTCTCTCTCTCTCGTCATAGGTGGATGAGATGAAATCTTTATACGGCATTTAGTAATTAAATATATAATACTAAAACACAATTTATATGGGAAACAATCACTGAGTTTATTTTACACTACGTTTCAACAAGGTCGCCTCTAAATTTGATTACCTCCTTTATATAAATATAATGAGACGTCGGGTATAGACGTTACAACATACGAGAGCAGGCATACTGAGAAAAGACGCCATGAGTATAGAAGTTACAACAAACAGAAACAGTTATACTGAGACGCCATGAGTATAGAAGTTACAACCAGGGGCGCCGGAACGTCCGAGGAACAGGGGCAAGGGAGTCCGGGGGTGTTATTTTTCCCCGGGGGGTTGAGCGTCCTGCCCCCGAGAAATTTTTGAAAATCGGGGGCTACCAGTTAAAACCTTTCAGATCAAAATACAACTCAGATCACTAGAATCAATAACCGATTCGGTTCACTTCGACGTAGCATATCGAACAAAAATCTCGAATCCTCTTTTTATACAATTTCAGCGGATATATTCAAAAATATAAAAATTTCATCATGACATAGTACGGCAACGTGTACTTAACCGAAGTATATTTTGCGCTGCTGTGATGTAGCAATAGGCTCTATATCTACTTTATATACATCTACTTCGTCCATACGTCAAGTCTCCACCCACTAACCAGAGACGAGCACGAGATGGGATCTCCCGCTTGCTTTGGGCCCCCGTCAGAACGGGGTGGCGTCCTTACTGCGCTGCTGCGACCGTACGGCGACCAGAAAATGCATAAGGTCGCCGACAAACGTGAACACAACACAAGAAAATGTCCCAAAAAATTACAAACTTGGAAAAAGTCGCATTCTCAAAGCTTTCCAGGTCAGATCGCAGAACCTTGGCGTTTGTTTTGAACATTTTGGGGGAGGGGGTCGAGTACAGGCCACAATTCTTAAGTGATCATCTTGAAACTTTACATACTTATTCCTTATACCCTAAGGATGATCCCTATTATTTTTGGTTCATGCCCGACCCCCCGGGGCAGGGCCACGCCCATTTCGTGTATTTGTTTGTTTGTCGTCTACAGATCGCATTTCTTAACGTATCATCTTGAAGCTTTGCATACTTATTCTTTGTACCCTAATGAACTTCCCTATCATTTGGGGCTGCATACCCAACCCCCAGGTGCAGAGTCACGCCCATTTTCTTTTTGTGTGTCTGGGTGTCGCCTACAGGCCACAATTTTTAAGTGATCATCTTGACATTTTACATACTTATTCCTTATACCCTAAGGATGATCCCTATTGTTTTTGGTGCATGACCGACTCCCAGGACAGAGCCAAGCCCATTTATTGTATTTGTTTGTCGTCTAAAGACCGCATTTCTTAACGAAAGTATCATCTTGAAACTTTGCATACTTATTCTTTGTACTCTAAGGAACATCCCTATCGTTCGGGGTGCATGCTCAACCCTCAGGGGCAGAGCCACGCCAATTTCCTTTTTGTGTGTCTGCGTGTCGCCTATAGGTCACAATTCTTAAACGATCCTCTTGAAAAAAATTCATATGAATTCCTAATACCCTAAGGATGATCCCTATTGTTTTGGGTGCATGCCCGATCCCCAGTGGCAGAGCCACGCCCATTTCTTATATTAATTTGTTTGTCATTTCTTAATGTATCACCTTGAAACTTTGCATAGTTATTCCTTCTATCCCAAGGAACATCCCCATTGTTTGTGGTGAATGTCCAACCCCCAGGGGCAGAGCCACACCCAATATACTTTGTGTCTCTGTGTGTTGCCTACAGGCCACGATTCTTAATGGGTCGTCTTTGAACTTGGAATATGTATTCCTTATAGCCTAAGGACGGCAACTGCATGCCCCGACCCCCAGGGGCAGAGCCACGCCCAATTTTTGTACCTATATATATATATATATATTGGTCCATGCCAAATCCCCAGGGGCAGAGTACGCCCAATTTTTGTGTGTTTTGTCAACAGGCTGGAATTCTAAACAGTTCATCTTGGAACTTGGCATATTTATTCCTTATACTGTAAGGATAGCAACTATTTATTTTGGTGCATGTCCCGACCCCAGGGGTGTGGTACCACACCCACTTTTTTGTTAGTTTTTATCGGTAAATACTCTACAGGTTGCAATAATTAACAGATTTTGTTCAAATTCAGCATACCAATCATTTCAAGAACAAGGTGGTACCTTTTAATATTGTTCCTTATCTACCCCCACAATCCCCAGGGGCACAGCCACGTTCAATTTTATATATTATCGTCTACAGGCTGCAATTCTGAATGTATCATCTTGTTACTCGTAGCGAAGAGATGGGGTCCAATCAGACCGTTAACTGATAACTCACAGTAGGGATTTAAAGGCCCGGCCCCACTGCACTTACGGATGCAAAGAGGATGTAAAACGGGAAAAAACGTGCCCTCCGTTTGAAAACGCCATGCATCCGTTCTGTACTCATTGCATACGTGTTTCATACGCTCTATTCATCGAGCAACCGTTCACTTTGATTTCATCCGCGCACAAAGTTTTGAGCTGCACAAACTTTTATAACGGATGAACGTTCTGCCGTGTACGATGTAAATGCGAGCACCAAACGTTTCATGTCCGTTATCATCCGTTAAACCTCCACTGTATCCTCTCTACATCCTCTGGGCATCCTGGCAACTCACATCCGCTCCAGCTGAAAACGAAAAGAGGGAATCTATACATCGTTAGTAGCACAGAAATAGAAAGGATGTAAGCGTATGCATCTCGTATATAAAGTTTCCAAAACGGACAAAGCTTTTGTATCTGGGATGTATCTGGTATATTGAAGGATGTCTGGAGTTTGCCTAACCCCTTCGGAGCTGTCATCCACTTCCATCCGCTTTCATCCGCTAGGCTTCCGATGAACATCCATCTAATATCCCCGCTACATACTTCCCACGTTCGTTCTTTTCCGTTCTGTTTTCGCAAATTTTCGTCAATTTTGTCCATTTCTGGAGCGAATGAAAACGGATGCAGCTACCCCCGAAAGTTTGCTCGTCCGATGTGTTCTTTTTGCATACGTTTTGTGTCCATCGGCCACTGGGACCGGGCCTTTACTTATGTGTTTGCTGCCTGATATATCTGGGATGTATCTGGTATATTGAAGGATGTCTGGAGTTTGCCTAACCCCTTCGGAGCTGTCATCCACTTCCATCCGCTTTCATCCGCTAGGCTTCCGATGAACATCCATCTAATATCCCCGCTACATACTTCCCACGTTCGTTCTTTTCCGTTCTGTTTTCGCAAATTTTCGTCAATTTTGTCCATTTCTGGAGCGAATGAAAACGGATGCAGCTACCCCCGAAAGTTTGCTCGTCCGATGTGTTTTTTTTTGCATACGTTTTGTGTCCATCGGCCACTGGGACCGGGCCTTTACTTATGTGTTTGCTGCCTGATATATCTGGGATGTATCTGGTATATTGAAGGATGTCTGGAGTTTGCCTAACCCCTTCGGAGCTGTCATCCACTTCCACCCGCTTTCATCCGCTAGGCTTCCGATGAACATCCATCTAATATCCCCGCTACATACTTCCCACGTTCGTTCTTTTCCGTTCTGTTTTCGCAAATTTTCGTCAATTTTGTCCATTTCTGGAGCGAATGAAAACGGTTGCAGCTACCCCCGAAAGTTTGCTCGTCCGATGTGGTTTTTTTTGCATACGTTTTGTGTCCATCGGCCACTGTGACCGGGCCTTTACTTATGTGTTTGCTGCCTGATACCATATTGCGTATGCCAGAGTATTCTCTCTTTTAGCATCTGAATTTTACAAATACCAAAAATTAAATGATGAATTCCAAATATTCAATGGTTTTTGTATCAAGCGTGAATTGCCATTTAACCTCTTTATCACATAGTACACAAAGTAGCCATTTTGTGAGAATTATTAAATCTTTTCCATATTTCACTAAAATGTTTTTGGAAACTAATTTAGCTGTTTTTCAGATGTCAAATATGAATGCACAAAAATCCAAACCGCTGCCTTTTAATTCAAATATATCTGTACGTAAAAACTTTGAATTATAACTGGGTTCCATAATGGACAGTCAACATAAAAGTAAGGGCAGCGGGCCAATTGCCCCGTGCTTTGGGGGACAGGGGGGATATTTGCACCCATAGCCCCACCATTCCGGCGCCCTTGGTTACAATAAACAAGAATAGTTACACCGAGACACCATGAATATATATGTTACAACAAACCAGAACATATGAGTATACACAGAGACGCTCCACAACTGCAAAGCCTCAGTACACCTAGAATCAGCATTACATCGCAGGCTTTTCTCCTCCTTGCAGTGACGTTGCATGGCACGTGTGTGTAATATATATATATATGTGGACGCGGATTTTACTAGAACCGTCTTTTGAGAGGGGTGAGATCGGGGTTTTTTTTAATGGCAGAAGAATGAAATTATTGGTCAAAATTTCATCTCAAGAACACTTTTAAGTCTTAATTGTTGTTATATTTACATATGGAAAATGATTATTGGCCTTCTTACGCATTGCGACTATAAATGGCAGGGGTACAATAATAATTGTCGAGTGTTGTAAACTCCACTTGTAGTAAAGAATCTCTGTTTAGTAACATCCACAGACAACGTCGGTTAGACAGTGTCCTTGAGAGGAAAGAATGTGCTGGAAAGAGACCCCCCCCCCCCCGAACCCTCATCCAGTCGGATGAATTATTAATATTACTGTATTTTGTTTCCAACTACTTTTAGGTTCCGAAATTTTAGCTACGTCTACACTAGCAGCATTCACCGTCTACACTAGCCTTTTAAATCCCGGTTTTTTCCTAAAAGCCGGCTTTTTCAATTTCTCAATCGTAAAAGCCGGCTTTTTAAAATCCGGCAATTATTGAGGGATTTTTCAAAATCAAAAAGCCGGCTTTTTCAAAAAAACGGCAATTTTATGTGTGTAGACGGTAAATCCGGGATTTATCAAGTACCCGGATGTCATTCGTCCCGAGCTTCCGTACATTCATAACATTGGCATTGCTTCCGGTTCTAAGAAATTGCGGTAAATCTCAAATCCATCTATAGCCTAGCCTATTTAATTTCAACATGCCTAACCTAAAATGGGTTAACGAGGAGTGCTTATTGCTAATTGAGATTTGGGGGCGGGGGAACATTCAAGCTTTGTTTGATGGAACTGTCAAAGACAATAAAATTTACAGGGTTATATGCGCTGAATTGCACCAAAGTAACCAAAGTAATCATTATTATTATATTATTATCTCTGCAAAATTGACTGAAGCCGATGGCGTAATAAATAAACCGGAAGTTCCACAAATAACGAAGGTCGGTGTTCATCGTCTTTTTCCGTTCAGTCAGTGTAGACGCTACACTTGAAAAAGCCGGGTTTTGAAAAAAACGGGTTTTTAAAAAGCCGGCTTTTTCAAGCCTAGTGTAGACGAAGCTTTAGTGTACTTTCTCTTTTGTATGTGGGACAAAGAGCTGTTGATGACAGGTGACAGCCATGGTAGTACCAAAAAGAAAATGCGCACGTGCTGTCAGTTCTCAGTCAAGACGACTAGCTTGTAACCAAACCTTAAATCCGTGCAAAGAAAACATGGGTTATTTGTGAAATGATAGCTTAGTCGCTAGTCGTTGGAAATAGAAGAAGGCCCTATTACAAAAATGATTATTTATTCATAGATATAATTACTTATGCATTGTTTATCAAAATTCAAACGATTGTAAATCAGGTTATTTTCCAGTTGCGAAAGATAACTGCGGTCAAACCGACTTCCTAATGAGTTATTTTCTTTTACATAGTTTTGGTTCTCTAATTTACTCCAAATCTACTGGCATTATCCTAAATAATTCATTGAAGAATTTTGGTAATGCAACATGCTCGGTAAGTTTTTATTATACGCCGACATGCCGGTCCGTCCACCCAGAGAATTGTGTAGTTGTAATCTACAAAATTAACGGATTTTGATTAAATGAATATTTAGCACATGGGTAAAGTGGTTATTTTAGAGTTATTGCAGCTGATTCATAAATTAAATGTGCATTATCTTAAAATGTTTCAATTACATTTAGAATTGAACTGGGAATACACAGACTATAATCCTATACAGTTATTGTCCTTGCAACATGTTGGGTTACTAGTATTTATATAGTTATTGTTTCTGATTTATGTGATTGTTTATAAACATACAGTACAAATCCGATTTCTAGCTATGGTTCATATTCAGTGCCGGATTTACATATTGGCTTGACAGGCTGAAGACTAGGGTTCCAAGATCTAAGGGGCTCAGACCAAGATGTATAAAGCCTTTCTTATATGTGCTGTGATCGTAATCATCCGTTACCATCCTAGGGTTTGCACAATTGTTTAAAACCACACTTGTGTCTTCCTCTAGTCGTGAGATTAGGGGATTGGGAGGGCCAGGAGCTAGCAAATATTTAATTAGCATCTCGAATACAAAGGGTCTGGGGCCTGGAATTAGTAGATCTATGAACGAGTCTCAGTGGAGCCGATGAGCACACATCACGTTTCCCCGTTCCAACACTTCAACTGGCGAACGATGTGATGACATATTGAAATAGCCAGGGTTTGGACTTCCATCTGAGAATTGGGAATTAGAGATGTAACGTGTAGAGAATTCTGTGTTTTCTTGAAAGGAATTGTTTGACTTCTGCCAAGTAAAGGTTAAATGATAGATCATAACTTTCTGGATAAAAGCATTTCTTACATCCCACTTCGTGATTTTTTTCATTGATCAGTAAGGAACGTGATACATCCTTAAAAGCGGAATGGGGTGGGTCTATGTATATAGTTGTTTTATGGTTCCCAAGTTGTTTTAAGGCACTTCATGGGGCTATTGAGTTATCTGCTTTTCCAATAGGACACGACAAAATTCAAATAAACCAGGTACTAAATGTCAATATTGATACTTTAATTAATTTTCTATTATTCAGCGAAATCCATTGATTCCTGGAAGAAGTTCTAGATCTGGACAATCACCTTCTATCATATTAGATAAAAATGACGATTTATTAATGGTGATAGGCGCATCTGGTGGAAATAGAATAGCAACGAGTTTAGCCCAGGTAATCTAAATCTTTATTAACCTTGAACCACTGGTTCATCGGTAAACATAGTAACATAAGAATACAATTATATACAATATGTTATACAGTGAATAGAGAGCAAACAAACGAATTAAACATTACAGTATTACTATAATATGATATTGACTACAATCTATTAAGGGTATTGTCCCTTAACTTATTAGTGAAATATGGAAATTTTCCTAGTTTTAAAAGTTCTGAACAATTTTTGCTTTGCAGTAGTTCTATTAATTTTTCCATATTTGGTCTAGTATAGTAATATTTCTTTATAAATTTTGACCGAAGTTCAGCAAAGAATGGACATACAAGTACAAAGTGATATTCATTTTCAATTCCATCAGTTTCACAGAGTGTACAAATTCTTTTTTCTCTCGGTATTGACTCATATCTTCCAGTTTCGATCCTCAATTTATGAATAGATACAGGGGCGTACATAACGATTTTGTTGTGGGGGGGGGGGTAGCTAAAATGTGACCGACTGATGCACATACCCCCAGTACGAGTGACGCAGTCAGGAGCCGCGCACCACAAGTGCGAGTTTTCTAGGGGCCATGTGCAAAGCGGATCTAGAAGCTGGGATTAGGGGGTGGGGTAGGGGTGGTTCCAAATCTAGGGCGCCATCCACAATCCCAGCCCACAATGAATGTCAACAAAATACTGGCTATAACATTAAGCGTCCCAGGAGAACATAGACAGTATTGTATAATTATATAGTTGTTCGCCGATCGTTGTCTCGCCGGAAAGCAGTTTTATTTAAGTTGACATAAAGTTTATGTCATATATGATGATTGTGCCTATAACACTGAGCAACCTGAGAAAATTTTGGAAAATTTGAGTCAATATCTTAGCACTTGATGTCATTGCTGGGAGAAAGTCTTGTGGACGAGAGGACTAGAAATATGAGCCAATGGGACAGAATCTCAAGATCTGCCCCTGTCAATTCCGCCTGTTTTGCAAGAGTTGACATAACATTTGTATAGTCTGACGCCCCACGACCCACACACCGTGAATATGATAGTGCTGAGACAGTATAAGAAAACAGAGGAATAGAAGAATGGTGTACGGAATCGAGCGCCGGAATGACACTATGGTGTAAAAACGACGGAAAGTGTTAGAACTACTGAGTATTTTGAGATGATAGCAGACGAAATGTCCTAACGAGTCAAAACAATATGGCGGGTGGTATACTTTGTTGTTGTTGTAGTATATAGTCAATCAGTAGTAAGAAGTTATATTTTAATCCCTTTCAAGTGCCTGTGGTTGAAATACAAATGATTATAGTTGTCTAACAGTAGGGCCCGCGGCAAGCAACTCGGCGAGGAGAACCCTCTCCACCTGAGGTTTAACACAGCAATATATGTACTATGTTTAAGTTTTAGTGATGTAATAATAATCAGATGTACACAATTTTCACAGGAAATTTGAAGCACGCAAACAAATGGAAAAACAAAAACTGCTCGCTTATTTTTTTCAATACCCTAAAATCATGTTGAACTGGATTCATACGGACCTTTTCGTGCACATTTGGAAGAGAATTCATCCTTAGCCTCATCAAAATTAATCAAAGTCATTTTCGATGCTTCAAATTGACAGACCTACTAGTAGCTCTTGGTCGGTACTATTCCCCGAGTAGCTCTTTAAGTAAGCCTATTTGCTAAAGGATCGCTCAGCAGATTCAATACTTACTGGAATAGTTAGAAAAGTTCTGAGAGCTATGAAAACATTAATGAAAATCAAATGCAGAATATTTCTAGCCAAACAGTTCAACAGTTGCAGCGGAGTTTTAAAAGTTTCGCTTTCAGTTTCGTTTTTAATTATCGGATACCACTCAGCCTACCTAGAGCGATCGATAACCGTGTGCATGGTCACTTATGAGAGCTTAGAACTGAACGAGGACCGATCGGGGCCTCAACGGCAAGAAGGCCCGGTCAGGTGGCTTATCATTTTTAATTCACTAGTTTTTTTCAAAAAAAGTAGACTGACAGAATTCGATTCATCCTCGTGCATGGGGCACCGTATATATGTACACTAAGCAGCAAAAGAAACGTCAGGTTGGCATAAAAGTTGCCAAATGTTTTTATTGTATATTTGTGACCACATCTCCAACTTTACCTGAACAATAAGGCTCCTTCCCAAACACACAAATGAACCTAGGAAATGTTCTCAAAACAGATGGTAATGTAATGTGTTCTCCATGATTTTCATGTAACTCATGCTGCACGTGTTGTTCACCGGGACCAGCCCTATAAAATGCACCCCAATACCTGGTTGAATCATTCACTCAACAACGTCAGCAGCATGCCACTACTCACGACAGCTCAGAGGAACAAGGTGCTTGGAAGACTCGACCCTGGCCACACTGCCCAAGCCGTTGCCAATCACTTCCAGGTCAATGTTCGGACCATTCGGGCCACAAACATCCCGGATGATCGCCCCCGAACTGGTAGACCAAGGGTTACCACAAGGCGACAAGACCGTCATGTTGTGCGACAGCACGTAGAGAATCCCTTCACACAGGCATCTGAGACAGCACGTCAGACAGTGGGAACACACAGAAGACCTATCAGTACCGATACAGTGCGCCGACGTCTCACCATGGAGAACATCCATTGCCCTGTAGACCTTACCGTAAACCGATCCTCACCCCTCGTCATAGACATGAACGTCTACAGTTTGTCCAACAACAGAACTGCCGACACAGGCAATGGAGAACTGTTCTGTTCACAGATGAGAGTCGGTATTGCGTATCAACTGCAGATGACAGGACCAGAATATGGCGTCGACGTGGCCAGCGTTATTCTGACCAATGTGTCATGGAATGAAACTCATGGGGAGGTCCAAGCATAATGGTTATGGGTGGAATCGGCCTGAACCAGAGAGTGGGTCCTGTGGTGTTCCAATATCTTGGTCCAGGGAGAGGAGGCGGCATCATGGCAGTGTGCTACATCGATCACACTCTCAGACCCAACGTCATACCACATTTCGCACGTCATCGAAACAATGTTTTCCAGCATGACAACGCCCGTGCCCACACCGCCAGAGTTACTCGGGACTTTCTACAGCAGAACGGTGTCAACGTGGTGTGAACGCCATATATCGTGCTGTGGTCTCCATGGTCGCCAATGAACGTCGAGTCACGGCGTTTGTTTTGAGCATGTTCAAAACAAACGTCAAGGTTCTCCAATCTGACCTGGAGAGATGTGAAAACGCGACTTTCTTAAGTTTGTAATTTTTTGACACATTGTCTCGCGGTGTGTTCACGTTTGCAGGCGAACTTGTGCATTTTCTGGTCGCCGTACGGTCGCAGCAGCACAGTAAGAACGCCACCCCGGTCTGCCGGGGGCATTATGCACTGGCCAGTCCTTAGTCCGGACTTAAACCCGATTGAACATCTTCGGGATGAAATTCAGAGGAGACTTAATAACGTCGTACCGACACCAAACACAGCCGATGGATTGCCTCAGGCTTTTCTGAAAGATAAAATCCAAATTTTAGTAGATACTTCAATTTTGATTGGCTAAGTACTAAAATCATTCTAATATTATCCAATCAAATTACTAAAATTTGGATTTTATCTTAGTTAAAATTTCGTGAAACAAACCCCTGGTTTGTAGACGTTGGCTACAATCAAGGCCAGGGCAGATAATTTGAAATCGTGGAAACCTTCTGGATTAATCCAGGGTATAGTTCAGTAGAACGGAATCAGACCACTGGGGATACCAAGGTTGAAACCGATTCTAATCCTATCACCGGTTTTCTTCTACTTTATGATCAAGTAACAGTGTATTTTTTATTATTATTATTATTAATTTATATTAACAATTTAAAAAAAAAAAAAAAAAAACATTACTCGGCATACCGGACCTCCGAACCCCTGGACCAGTGTCCCAGCTGCCCCGCTCTTACGGGCCCTATCTAATAGTCGCGATTATCGAGGCACTGGTTACAAGTGAACCTTACATGTATTATCGTACCGGAAACTTTTAGACAAGGCATATTGTCAATTTCGTTAACCTTTAATTCGGATATAAGTCACGAATTCATGTATAAATTAGTGTATCGTGTTTTATAATGGGATTTCATTTGTCGTTTCTTTGTGTAGGCTTTATTGAGAATATTGTGGTTAAACCAAACATTAGAGGAAGCGATCAGACCAAAAAGAATACATTATGACGTTATGCAAAATAAGTTGGTATATGAAATTGGATTTCCAAAGGTGAGCAAATCAGACATGGACCAAATAGTGTTTTTCCTAAAATTTAATCAGACCAGCTTCCATCCACGTGAAATTAAAAAAGACTAATTAAATTCATTGAGTTATTTCCCCTGTCTTCAGGACTTGGTAAATAAGCTGCAAGACAGGTTTGTTTTGAAAATTGAGGAAATACTTTATCGAAAGTTCCTTCTTTAGTCATCTAAAAAGTGTACATGGTGTATATCTATTTAGTTCACTTTAGCCATAACAGTTATTTAAATATATATTTTTACGAAAAGCAAAAACGTGTCGTGGTTTCACCTTACATTTCTTGCGTTCGTACAAAATAACGGATCTAAATCTGATACCACTTGTCATTTAATTAGTTCACATATCTTGAACTTTAGTATTTAAACCTCTAGACTGATGTTTGTGCTGGTGGCCGATACCCACTGGTTTCGGCTTCTGACATTCAGGTTGAAACTATTTGTAGCTATTCATGATAGCAGATGCCCTGGACGACTGTACATACTACACTTAGATGACATACTACAAACACTATGATAACATACTACAAACACTATGATAACATACTACACTAGAGTTGTATGATAACATACTGTTGTTGTTTCTTTGTGTATGACTGAGAATTGTTTCATATATTTCAGAATATATTAGATGGATTAAGGGATAGTTATGGCCACGAGTTACTGGAGAGAGACAGATACATGTCCAACATTCAAGCTGTTTACAAAAACCCTAAAACCCACCAAATTGATGCCTTTTCTGACGAACGGAAAGGTGGACACGCCTGCTTAGTTCAAGTAGAAAATAGAAAATAAAATCATTATATTATTGCTTCTCATATTACTTTTTCTATTAATCCATCTGACCAAAACAACGGTCTTAACACCCTATGTCATACACTTGCTCGTCCTTCATTTGCAGATATTTTCGATCTCTGCTCTCTGTCATTCTTGCAAATTTAAAGGTGTGTGATTTGGATTTTAATTCCAGTTAGTTCACATGAAGTAGTTCTGTCCAATATTGGGGTGTGGGTGGTATCATCGACTTCTTCACCTAATCAAAAACGGAGGCTCGCAAACGACAGTAGCTTAAAGGGGCGAACGAATGTAACGTTTCCAGCAGTTAACCGTTCTGGTTAGTGGATTGAGAGACATGTTTTGGAGTTTTATGTAGACTTATGCCGTGTTTGTTATATAACTTATTTAAGACGAACAGTGTGTTACCCGAGTTATTCTGGGGATATATTGGAAGTAATCCGTTTGCAAGTCTTTTTCTAAGTCAAATATTTAAGTCAATAATTACAAATTACAAAATCGTGAAGTTCATATCTAGACGATTAGTGGCCAAAAGAAAGAATGTGTAGCAGGGAAAATGTTGCACTTTGAATTTAGAAAGCTTGTGGTTTAGCTTCCTTATTCAACCGGCTATGCTACAGAAGGCGGAAAGGTTAACCCAGAAAGCAGAAATTAAATGAAATGAAATGGGGTTTAACGTCCTACTGTTCTGCTCCGAACTGAGCTAATGAAGACGAGCATTACGCAATACAGTGTCCCATGAGGGAAATTTTGCCCGCACAGCGGCACTATGGCCTACTCTATATCCAATTCCAACTGTCTTTTACGTTCACGCCAATGTGTACACGGGACCTCGGTTTTTGGTCCCATCCGAACGACTAGACGGCTGTCCTTGTCAGGCCCTCCTTCCTTCATCACTGACAAGGGAGAAGCACGCCGAAAAATCTGGATGAACTTTCTCGGCCAATGCAGGGATCGAACACATCGACCTCCAGGTTAGCGAACCAGGGTCTTACCCACTTAGCCACCCCAGAAAAAAGAAGAGCATATTCCCGATTAAGAGCCAGGACTGTATAACCTTCGCCTAATAACTCTCACTCCAGAATCATCACTATGTGTGTCAATCTGCTTAAAATACAGATCAGCTATATTTCGGGGGGGGGGGTTAACTTTTGACTGTCTCCATTACATTGGAAGGCCACGTCAGGGGAATACGAGTGGCTTTTGGCCTACGACGTCAGTAATTCGATTAACCAATCAGCGTCTCTTTTCTAAGCGGTTATTTGGAAATACATCTTTTGTTGCGCTCCGAATTTCTACCCACAGGTAGATATTGACCATCAATTTAAAGAAATAAAGAAAACCCAGACTAATCGGCTTTATATAATATAGATATTTTAAATGTCGACTTACATATAGACATTATTAGCGTTATAGCTAACATTTTTTAAGTCTAATGATTTATAAATCGACTCTTGTTATGAAATATTAGAATAATAAAATACCTAAAAATACATGTAGAGATATAAAACCCATGAATATAAAAAGAATACTGAAGATGGGTTATGTGTGTTGGGGATGAACTGGAAACAAGAGACAAACATTCTTCGTTGTCTGGATAATCACCACACAGTAGCAACTGCACTCTTCTGCAAAGGAAAAAAAATAATTATATTAACTGAGACTTAGATTTTGTCTGTACCCAACCTGGTTGCAAGAGATCTAGAATATATGCCCGTGTATTCTGTCGCCACGCGTTTATCTCACGCCAACGTAAGGAAGTACTGTTCGAATTTTAACAAAATATGTCATTATCTCCTTTAGATATTGGAGTCTAAATTTGGCAAAAAGAGTTGATAATGTGCCTTTCATCAACATGGTAGCCACGGTGGCTCAATGAATAAGTTGGCTCGTTAACCTGAAAGTCTCGTGTTCGATCCATTGATTGTCCGGCGTAGACCCCCCCCCCCCCCTCTTGGTGGTGCAGGATGGAGAGTTTGGTCCTGGGACCACTCTTGTCCACAGCATACACCTCTCCTTTAGGAGACATCATAAGAAAACACAAAATTGACCACCAACTTTACGCCGACGATGAGACCGAAAACATAACAAAGTTGGAGACCTGCACTGCGGATGTAAGATCCTGGATGAAACTTAATCTTTTAAAATTGAACGATGATAAAACTGAAGTGATACAACTTTTTAAACTTAAATGTAATACAAATCTTAAGTTAATACATAATTCTGTGAAAATTGGAGATGCCAATATCCCTTTGTCATCGTCTGCACGAAATTTTGGTGTAAATTTCGACTGCACGGGACATGAAATCCCATATCTCATCTATTTGTAAATCATGCAATTTTCACCTGTATAACATTGGTAGAATCCGTCCTTTTATCAATTTTGAAACCTGTAAACTACTTGTCAACTCCTTTATTACATTCAGACTCGATTATTCTAACTCACTGCTTGTTGGACCTCCCGCAAAAAGCTTATACCCTGCCCGTATCGTTTCACTAACACTTTATCGTTCACCCATCACCCCTGTCCTTAAACAACTTCACTGGCTCCCCGTTTCTTTTCGCATCGATTTCAAAATTTTGTGTCTTACATATCTGTCAATCAACTGTCCTTCGTTCTTCGAATCTTTACCTCCTTCAGATGCCAAAGAGTAAAGAACTCCTCGCTCAACGCTCCTTTTCGGTAGCAGCACCGAAACTTTGGAACGACATATCCTTTAAAACAAGGACCAGTTCAAGTTTCGACGTTTTTAAAAAGAACCTAAAACAGAATTGTTCCGAAAAGCCTTCAAAAATTATCTCTTTTACCAATTTTTTTGATGTTTTATATTTTATCTGTACACTGCTATTTATTACCAAAGAGTTTAATTTTACTTTTTTATGATTTTCTATCTATATTTTATCTGTATCTGTACCCTGCTATTTTTTTTTTAAAAATCCTATTATCTTGTTTTACCAAATAGTTTAATTGTATTTTGTTATCTACATGTATATTCTTTTATATTGTGTACTCATAATCATATATCATTTGTGCAAGTGACACAAGCTGGATTGTAAATTATTATTTAAGAGTGTGAACACTGCTAGACAAACTAAAATCCCAAACGCATGATTCATACACTGCTCTTGGTCAGAAGCCAAGAAAACAACAAGCAACATTCGAACGCTGTTCTTGTTCAGAAGCGCGAATCGAACCGAACATTTCTCCTCTCCCTTTCTCCCACTTTCAGAAGAGAAATTGGTTACAAATTACCTAGGGGAATCATAACATAATGTGGGAATCCCTCTTTCCTGCAACCTGTTCTTTAACTCTGTAATTGACTGGCCTGGGCATTTAGAACTGAAATTACAATAATTTGAAACTTAATACATCAAGAGTATGACGAATACATCATAAAGTACATTCTGCTAGTTGTGTGAGTGATTATAATATACACAAAAGTATAACATAAACTTTTAGTTACATGAACTCCTCAAATAAGTGGTAAAATCTTTAATGACAATAATCAACGCGAACAATACGCCAGGGGAAAACTTATCTGTTAATTTGAATAAACAGGTGGTGATGTTTAACCTCTCATCACTAGCCTGTTTCAATGAGTGGGGAAGGATAGGGAGGGGGGGGGGGTAGATAAACGTGGTTTCTAACCACACTTCTTCGAATTCCAACTGTTAAGTTTATTTTACATACCACCAAACAAGAGTTGAAAAACTAGGCGAGGGTCAAATGTCCTAACCGGTCGGTAAAATCGGCCGATCATAGTTGAAATACATGTACATAGAATACAGTATACAGTACTATTTCATTACCTACCGAACTGATTGTCTAGGGGCGATAATGAACTAAGAGTATCTGGAGGCAGACCACCATTAATTTCCCCATTGACTTCAATGTTAATTCTGGCCTCTTTGCCCACCTCCAACTTTTCCCCAAATTTTCGTTGGGCTGAATGCTTTTCACTACAGACAGAGGAACAAATGGTCATGTCTTTGCACTAAAATTTGTATGAGGTTGACCACCAAAATTTTGAGATACACAAACTTGAAGAAGCATACTAAAAACATGTAACTAGTTGCCGTACATATCGCCGTAGCTAACCTGATAACCCTCTTATCCTTCCGCCTCAAAATCATGAATATTTACCAAAACCTGGCAGAAAATGTTCATTCAAACCCTCTTCGTCCATTCTAGACCAAAAAATCAACACAAATGGGCATGCAGAAGGGGAGAAAAGAGAGAGAGAGAGAATTGCTATAAATAGACGAACTACAATTCGTGGGTACCGAGATGATGAAATTTAATGGTGGTCTGCCTCCATCTCGGCCGATGTCACAGTAGTAGAGTTTATATTAGGCAATTCCCAGCTGGCGAAAACTCTGAAATATATACATATAATGATAGACCAATGAAGTACATAAATTACTTTTCTGTGTCATATAATAATATTAACATACGAAATGCCAGATTATTATTTAATCGCGTCTCCATCATTTTATAGAACGAAATGGAACGTGGGGCTAGGTCGGCGCTCGAAGAATTTGATTTTAATACCACAGATATATACTTACAAATCATTCACAAAAGGTGTCTCCAGTGAAGAGTTGAGCATGGTGTGTATATTGTCAACAGCATTAGCAGCGTACTGAAACATATAATCAATTACATAATTACCATTAATATATCATATGCAATATGAATACAAACGCCTTTAACAGAGTGTTTGCTATAAAGTGTGTCGGACAGCGGCGGTTCGGTCAACTTTTCATTTAATTCTGTGGTTATTTTACGTGCACGCTAACTTATTACTATTCGTTCTTTGTCTGACATGTTTCACTCTGATATGTTTATTATCATTGAACTTATACTTAGCAATTTGATTCTCAATAAAACTCCTGAACCTACATATTTATAAACACCTGTTCAGTGTCCGGTATTAATTAATATATTATATAATAATTGTAATTTGTTCTTAATAAATACGCATTTAGAATAATTTGGACTTCTTTCATTTAGGCTACCTTCTGGATAATACCTAACCCTGACTCTTGAAGGGGATCCTTTGCTTTTTCCTTTCTTTAAACGATGAGGGTTACTTCCCCCATAGTTTTACCCAAAGCCCTATATAAGGGAAATTACGACAACTCATTTCCAGGCGCCATTTTGGGTCCCAATTATGACGCCATAAAATCTATGACGTCATGGCTTCATACAGGTTTACATACCAAAATTTTTTTTTCTTGCGCAGTATTAGGCGCTGAGGGAAAACGTTTTACCCTAAAAAAAATGCAAAAGAAACCAATGCAGTTTGGTTCAGTGATAAATATATCAAACAAAATCATACTCAAAATCGGGGAATTTTCTGAGAGCGATATCTCGTAATCAGTGTGTTTCACTATTTACTCGTTGGATTATAAATGATTTCTTTTTAAATTCCTCAAACACAGAATGGTTATGCAAGCGAAATGTGCCGAAAAATCGAATTTGACAAACATCAATTTAAAAAAAAAGGTATTTTTTATATGGTGCCGGGCGTTTCTTTCATGATGGCCGCCAAATTTGGTAATATTATTATTATTATTATTATCATTATTATTATTACAGCATATTTATAGCGCGCCCTTTCATAAAACATGTTCAGGGGCACTTTACAAAGTGACAATGTAATCATAAATAAACAACACGATTATGGACTTCTTAACAATTGTATACAGAGTCAGTTAAAAGCCTCATTAAATAAATGTGTTTTAAGTTGTTTTTTTAAAAGGATATAGAGATGTACAGCATCTTAAATTAAATGGCTGATTAATCCATAAAACAGGTGCTTGATAACTAAAGGGATGCTGACCATAAGAGACTAGTTGAACAGTTTTGGGCTTTAAAAGTAGTTTATCTGATGTACGTAATGTTCGGCCATTATATCGTGGTTATGTACGCGAAATGTGCGGAAATCGAATTTGAGTAACATCAATTAAAGAAATGTATTTTTCATGTGGTGCCGGGCATTTCTTTTAAAATGGCTGCCGAATTTGGTAATATAAGGCCATTTAACAAAAAAACCCATAAATTTGGTATAATAAAAGGGCATGTCTTAAGATACGTAAGATATGACTTTTGCTATGTCTTTTATATGGTTTTCGATGTCTCTGAATTTGAAGATAAATTTTGAAAATACAAAATAGCAGCAACACAAATTGGCGGATATTAAATTAATCGTCATTTTTCCTGTTGGATATTAGATAGTGTCTCTAAAGCATGATGTGCACTGTAGTTCGGTGTACCCTGTAGTTCAAATATAGTCTCCAAACCGTGTTTACACTGTAGTTTGGGTGTAGTTCGGCAAATGAAGATGAATTTTACGATATATCCATCCTGAAATAACAAAAAATGAATATATTCTAAACGCGCATTAAATATCTGGATGCGATAGACTTCGTGATAAAAAATTCAAGGTACATTATATTATTGGCAATAATAAGATCCAATTTTAGTTTTTAGTTACATACTGTTAGCCACCAATAGATGTTGTAATGACAATAAATCACAAAATGTATTCACCTCGACGTAAGACTTAAATATACAGTTGGATTAACTTGAATAGAGATTTTAATTGTCTATGCTGCATATACGCATATATCACATTACAGCCGAATCACATTATATATCTTTTTAGTTGATGTTCATATCGTCGGTGTATTCCCGCGAAGGTGCAGTTACAGAGCGTGACCAAAATTAATCCTTCCCGCGAAGGCGCAGATATCGACGGGTCGGCTTTCGTTTGAAGAGAGACATGTTGTTATTAGGACCCAATTAACGGTGTTAAAGATTTTATGAATTTATGTTCACTCTGAATTTTATTCACCAATTGACAATTAATGATGAATATCATCAAATCACCCAAGTAGTTTTATTATGTCTTGCTGCATAAGCCCTCGATTTCTCTTATTTGAGTAGACGTGGAACGTTTTGATCACTGTGGTCGCCACATTCGTATTTGTTATCAAATTTATTTACCAATTCTATTTTAAATGCAGGTTGATGATGCATACCTTCACATTGTAGCAGAAATGCCAGCCAATCCAAAACTAACAGAATTGGCCGATTATGTTACAAATAAATGGTTCGAGGGAGAATTTTCAACTCACCAGTGGAACCACTACGAGACAGAGGAGCACAGAACCAACAACACTCTGGAAGGATGGCATTCAAGGGTCAAGAAGCTAGTTGGAAAAGTCCACCCTAATGTTTTTGAATTGATCACATTTTTGCTACAAGAACAAAACATTAATGAGATAAGAATCGTCCAATATGCTGGGGGACAGAAACCACCAAAGAAAAGATATAAATATGCTCAAATTCAAAGCCAGCTCGAGGAATTGAAACGAAGACACCAGCAAGATATTAGTCGAGTATTTAGACAGGGTGTCGTATTTGGCGAAATTGAACTAATTTTTGTTATATTATAGTTGTTTTATTGCCGAAGTTAAATTAATATTTGTTATAGTATAGTTATGTTTTTTATTTATTTGACGAAATTAAATTAATTTTTGTTATATTATAGTATAGTTATGTTTTTTTATATATTTGACGAAATTAAATTAATTTTTGTTATATTATAGTATAGTTATGTTTTTTATTTCTTATCTGATGCAAAAATGTTGGTTAATTATTTACAGTGGGGATTATGAAAGTGCAAATTCTTCTCATAACAATCTATAACACCATTGTTACGTTTTTAATCCATTTTAATCCTTAGGGCTGGATTCCCGCGAAGTCGTCGAAAACGACCCTTTTTAATCCGTTACGGTCAATAACTGCGCCTTCGCGGGAATAAACCATATCGTCTTACGTATTTGTCAACATCAAGGTGAACTTGCTCTATTGCTCGATTAGCCTATTCAGACTTTTTAATAATAATAATAATATAATTAATTTATAAAGTGCCTGCATTTTTAATAATAATAATAATAATATAATTAATTTATAAAGTGCCTGCATTCCAGTAAAAGGGGGATCACGTGGCTAAGTGGGTAAGACGCTAGCTCGCTAGCCTGGAGGTCGGGTGTTCGATCCCTGCATTGGCCGAGAAAGTTCATCCAGATTTTCCGGCGTGGTTCTCCCTTGTCAGTGATGCAGGACGGAGGGGCTGACAAGGAAAGCTGTCTAGTCGTTCGGATGGGACGAAAAACCGAGGTCCCGTGTACACATTGGCGTGCTCGTAAAAGATCCCTTGGCAGTTGGAATTCGATATAAGAGTAGGCCGTAGTGCCGCTGTCCGGGCAAAATTTCCCTCATAGCACACTGTATGGCGTATGCCCGTCTTCATTAGCCCAGGTTAGGAGCAGAACAGTAGGACGTTAAACTCCATTTCATTTCATTTCATTCCAGTAAAAATTACTGCTCCGCGGAGCTATTACATTTTGTAAAAATGTTAGATGCAGAATAAATAAAAATGAATAATATATATAATCACGGAAAATTTAAGAAATATGAAGTTATTCAAATGACAGCGCAAGCTAAAAAGTTCGACTATTAAAAGACATAAAACTTTGTTAACAAGGGCAAATTTTAAAAGTCATCACAGACACTCCATAAAACTTTGCTTAAAAGTTAATTTTTAAAAGTCATCACAATCACTACATGAAACTTTGCTTAAAAAGTTCTGTTTTTAACAATTTTCTAAAAGTTACCAGGGATTGCGAGTTTTTTATGTGTTCGGGTAGAGAATTCCACAACATTGGTGCAGCGTAAGCAAAAGATCTCTGACCGTAGGACGATTTGGTTTTCGGTTGTACCAGTGATTCTGGGATCTTAAAGTTCTAGTTGGAGTGTATCGACGATAGTGTATTGAAGATAGTGTGGAGAGTCTTCAGAATGGAGAGTCAGGTACGTTAAGGAGAGGATTTTAAAGTTGATACGCGATTCAATAGGTAACCAATGTAGATTCTTTAATACTGGAGTAAAATGATCACGTTGTTTGGTTCTTGTTACAATACGGGCTGCCTTATTTTGGATCTTCTGTAGCTGATTTATTTGCTATGAGGGGAGATTAAACAGAATGGAATTGCAGTAATCAAGACGAGATGTTACAAGTGAATTGACTAACAATTTTGCTGTTTTTAGATCAATAAAGTTTCTAATACGCCGATGTTAAAAAGATGGTAATTAGTTGATTTACATATCATTGAAACATGGTGTTTAAAATCAAAGTTACAATCTAACTGCACACCAAGATCACGAACATCATTTCTCCCCTATAGAGCAATATCACCGATATTGATTGGAGGTTCGTTTATTTGCGATCTCCTAAACTTACTTCCGATCGTTAATACCGATCGCCAAGTCTCCAAGAGGTGAAGTATAGGCTGTGAAAAGGAGAGGACCGAGTACAAAACCTTGTGGAACACCGTAACATAAATTCGCAGGATTTGATTTTTGATTATTGATTTTTACGGATTGTGTTCTTCGACTGAGGTAAGATTTGAACCATTCTAATGCCAAACCCATGATAACACGCACAATAGTCTTAAGCAACCGTCACCATCCTCGGCTTTGCTAAATTGTGTTTAAAACACACTTTTATTTTCCTCTAGTCGTGTGGAGGGGGGGGGGGGCTTGGGGGCCCCGTAAGCGGAATAGTAGGACCTCTCTTCATCTGATACCGACACTGTTTCCAACCGATCGCCGCACGAGGCTTATAATGTCCCTATAGTGGGAAAGTGTAATATTATGAGAACCCTAAAAGCGGAAAAGCAAATAAAGAATAGCGATATTGCAAGTTTATACAGCATTTACAAATAATGGTTATTTCGAATGTTAATCCGAGAGACGTTCCTTTTGTATAGTGATGACATTCACAGCGCCCCCCCCCCCCCCCAAAAGAAATTTCCAAAAGACAAGTAGGGAAACACCCCTCTGGTCTAAACTTAGTCTGTTCCCGAGCTCCGATGCAATCTGAATAACAGAACTAATAATGAATGGATATGAAATTGATTATCCGGAGAACAAAAATTCCGCACTTACATTTATTCTGTGGGCAAGTCTATTTCTAAGTGCCATATTTCTAAGTCAAATATTTAAGTCAATAATTACAAAAACGTGAAGTTCAAGATTGGAGAGTTGCAGCAGTCATGCCTAGACGATTAGTGGCCAAAAGAAGGAATGTGTAGCAGGGATAGTGTTGCACTTCGGAATTAGTAAACATGTGGTTTGGCTTTCTTATTCGACCGGCTACACTGCAGGGGCGGAAAGTTTAACCAAGAAAATAGAAGAGAATATTCCCCATTAACAGACAGGACTGTATACTCTTCGCGTAATAACTCCCACCTCAGAGTCATCACTACCTGTGCCAATCTGCTTAAAATACAGATCTACATTTCGGGTTTATTTTTACATTTGATTGTCTCCACTACATTAGGAGGCCAGGTCAGGGGTCATACAGGTGGCTTTTTACCTATAACGTCAGTAATTCGATTAACCAATCAGCGTCTGTGTTCTATGTAGACAATTTGGAAATACAACTTTTGTTTCGCTGTGAATGTCTACCTACAGGGTATGCTAAAAAGTAGGAAATTGGCCATCAATTTAAGGAAACCCAGGCTTATCAACTTTAGATATTTTAATGTCGACTTACATATAGACATCATTAGCGTTATAGCTATTTCTAACATTTTATAAAACTAATTAATTAAAACTGACTCTTTGTTATGAAATATTAAAACAATAACATATCTAATTATTTAAATATGGTAATATAAAAGCAGTGAATATAAAAAGAATACTAGAACAATAACATAATATGCAGACATCATTAGCGTTATGGCTATTCCCAACATTTTATAAATCTAATTAATTAAAAACGGGCTCTTGTTATGAAATATTAAAACAATAACATATCTAAATACTTAAATATAGTAATATAAAAGCAATGAATATAAAAAGAATACTAGAACAATATGCAGACATCATTAGCGTTATGGCTATTCCCAACATTTTATAAATCTAATTAATTAAAAACGGGCCCTTGTTATGAAATATTAGAACAATAACATATCTAAATATTTAAATATAGTAATATAAAAGCAATGGATATAAAAAGAATACTAGAACAATAACATAACATGCAGATATAATTTGCGTTATGGCTATTCCCAACATTTTATAAATCTAATTAATTAAAAACGGGCTCTCGTTATGAAATATTAGAACAATAACATATCTAATTATTTAAATATAGTAATATAAAAGCAATGAATATGAAAAGAATATTAGAGATGGGGTTATGTTTGGAGATGAACTGGAAATAAGAGACAAACATTCTTTGTTGTCTGGATAATCACCACAAAATACCAACTGCACTCTTCTGCAAAGGAAAAACAATAATTACATAAATTGTGCTTCGGATTATGTCTGTACGGGAGTGTACCCAACCTGGTTGCAAAAAATCTAGAATATATGACCGTGTATTCTGTTGCCACGCGTTTCTCCCCAAGCCTACATATCATTATTTCATTTAGATATTGCATTGAGATGGGAGCCGCGGTGGCTCAGTGAATTCGCTAACCTGGAGGTCCCATGTTTGAGGTAACGTGTGTTGGACGAGAAAGTTAATCGGAATTTTCCGGTGTGCCCCCCCCCCCCCTTGTCAGTGGTGTAGGACGGAGTGCCTGGCAAGGAACAGCCTGTATAGTCGTTCGGATGGAAACGAAAAACTGGGTACATTGACGTGTAGGACCGTGTAGGTAAAAGATCCCTTGACAGTTGGAAGTTGAAATAAGAGTAAGCAGTAGTGCTGTTGTCCGGGCAAAACTTTCCTTATAGCACACTAACGCCAATGTTAGGTACATAGTGAATCGTTTGCAAAAATCAGCTGGTGATTATTTTCGATGGAACTAAATATCAAATTTTCACCCCATCCGCCAATAATTCTACATGTACGACATTCATATAAGTTTATAAGAATATTATCTATTTTGGTAGATATGGCTATCCATACAACAAAAGCTAAAGTGGACACTTTATGTAGCCTCTAGAAGGAATAATGACGCTATACGTCTTTAGAGCAAGATGAATTATATTCCTGTTGTTTTCTGATGGACGGTATGTTTCACACATTTCTTGAAATTATTCGAGATTCGGTGGTTGAACGTGGACTGTGCGTGTTTATTGTGATCCAGTAGATGTGATAGGATTAACAAGCGAAGCTCCGAAATTTTAGGTGAACTTATGCAACAATTTATCGACAAGTGTGTAAACACTGCTTGACAAATGTAAACACTGCTTGACAAACCCAAAACACAAGATTGAAACACTGCTCTTTGTAAGAAACCAAGAAAAAACAGAAGCCATGTTCGAACGCTGTACTTGGTCAGAAGATCGAGTAGAACCAAAATTTTCTTCAATTCCTTTCTCCCACTTTCATAAGAGAAATTGTTTACAAATTACCTGGGGGAATCATGGCATACAGTGGTAATGCCTCTTTCCTGCAACTTGTTCTTTAACTCTGTAATTGACTGGCCTGAGCATTTGGAACTGAAATTACAATAATTTGAAACTTAATACATCAAGAGTATGACGAATACATCATAAAGTACATTCTGCTAGTTGTGTGAGTGATTATAATATACACAAAAGTATAACATACAATGTTAGCTATATAAACTTGACATTCTAAAAGAATGTGCATACCCTACCCTGATATCAGTGGTATCAGGAGTTCTAAAAACAGTGTACATATCTTAACCCTTTTCACGGCGCCCGCGGCTGCTATAGTGGTGCTTTGTGCAAGATACCACTTAAACCCATAGAGTTGTTTGGTTTTAAATATCTAAAATATTTTCCTACCATCAGCTAATGAGAGTAATCCTCCGTACAAAATACATACCGTTTAATCTTTAATGACATTAATTAACGCGAACAATACGCCAAGGGAAAACTTATTTGTTAATTTGAATAATCAGATGGTGCGATATAGAAAAAACAAAATATTCATTCTGATTTACTTGGCCAATGAAGTAGATAAACGTGGTTCCTTACCACAATTCTTCGAATTCCTACCGTTAAGTGTATTTTATGTACCACCAAACAAGATTGATAAACCCTAAGATTGTTTTCGTGATTCCAATAGTGGGCATACAATGACAGTATACAGTACTATTTCATTACCTACCGAACTGACTGTCCAGGATAATGAACTAAGAGTATCTCAGCCGATGTCACAGTAGTAGAGTTTATATTAGGTAATTCCCATGTGGCGAAAAATCTGAAATATATGTAACACTATTAGTGATAACAGAGATCACAGTTTCGTACATATATGATTTATTTACATCGGGAACAGAATATGAAACAGATACATAAAAACAAGAGGAACACAAATAAGAATATAAACACGGTACATCGCTCTTATGAGACAACCATTCCGCCCGTCTGCCACGACAGCGTCCCCGCTTCCCTCTGCTCCTCTCTGCTTCTCTAACCAAGCCTCTCTAGTCCAGGCAAGATAGCAAAAGTGCGGGCAGTTGCTGCAATAGAAATGCCGATCACGGTTTATGGTCGGTTTAGACATATATTATAACCAAAAAAAAGTCCCAGTCCGATATCCGTGCCCAAATGGTTCAAATTGGCCAAAATCCAAAATGGCCACCGCTTTTGGCTTGTAAATTCCAATTTCCACCCAATTATCACAATATGATCGAGTTTGGTATCAAAATATACGTTTTCGGGGTAACTGAATCCATTTCCATACACATTTTTGTGATAAGTGTTACCGCTGAGTCAATATTAGGGGTTATTCAAGATGGTGGTCAGTTTTGGCGGGAAAACTCGAATTGTACATAAGGGTCAAGTTTGGTGTCATAATATATGTTTTCGAGGTAGCTGAATCTATTTTTGTACATATTTTAGTGATTAAGTGATTCCCTGTGTCACTATAGGAGAAATTCTAATTTGAGATTTAAATTTCCGATTATGGATTGGATATTAATGATACTCCTACCTTAGACCTAATACAATGACTTTCATCCAGTATCAACTAAATTTCATTTGGAGTGTCTTCCAGTTCACTGCGGATGCGGCATAGGGGTATGTCGACTGGGGTCACTCTCAGGTTACTGCGAAAGCTGGTCGTGCCTTTTGAAGCATGTGGCACAAAATGATTAAGATGTTCAGACACAGATGGATACAACAGTATCACCTGTTTGTCAAATATGCAGTGAACCATTTGATAATGAACAACCCATAGTTATTTGTCAATGTTTTAAGGTTAATGAAATGGAGGAGTCTGTATCAAGGTCTAGAGGGTCCGCGGTGCCAAAATTCATTTTTGCGGACCGTTGTCTTTTACATGGTCTGTAGGAAAGACTAGCAGACGGTCTATTACAACATATATAATCGGTGCCCGCTGTTACAACAGTAAACAGTAGAACTCGCAATGCCTATTTTTTTGAAAAGCCAAGACAGGACAAATGACGACTTGACATTAATCTAGTTGTATTTAATAAATCAGCATTGAGGCTGGTGTCCCTAAATAGATGACACTTATTAACTACTTGCACATCTAACTTATTTATAAAACATCTAGCACAGGAATTGTTCTTCACTCTGTGTAACCTAAGCAAAAAATGTAATTGCAGAGGCATGCTGGCCGACTACCCTGCCCTCATAAATGCAAAAACAAAATAAACTCGAAATGGTTGATAAAGCTCGAATCCGCTGAGATTTCCTAACAAGGTATATGGGTGGGAGTGGGGGTGGCTATGTGCCTTCTCTTCCGAAAATGTGCCATCGAATATTGTGCCCCCTTTTTCTGCTGCCCTTCCCTTGTTCCAACTAACTCCAGAGATACTACAAGCTCAACCAGACCATGATTTCCACGGATGACTTCCAAAATAGATTTTACAGACGGATTAATATTTCCATAATATTCAGAATCAACTAATTTGTCTTAGTTTTATTTATTTATATTAATGAATTTAGGAAAATTGCAACACGGGCGACGGGAACCATTATTGCCGATTAGCATACTCAGGGCCAATACGCAAACCGTCACAACGAATGACATTTAATCTGTCACCAGTTACTTCCTTGGCCTGGCTTAAAGTGTATTTTGATCGTCGTCTCGTTCTTGGGGTTGTCAGTCTACTTTCAATTCTACCTCCCTACCCCTACCCTCATTAGGGAACAGAATCAAATGAAACTTGGCAGGTACCCTTTGTAAGGAATACCAGTCCCTTTTGATGCTTGTTTTTCTTTCCTCACAGGTCGTTTAGTTCTTGACTGCAGCTAACTATGTTCATGTTCGGATCTTTGTGACTTAATCATAATCCCTTAACCAAGTGTCAATGTATGGTATGTCATGGCATATACGTTAAATCGATTCTACCATGTGCCACAGAACTCAAATTTTCCCTAGCACGCCCTTGGCGTATTGTTGAACTTAGTCATGACTTTACACCAAGTTTTATTCTGTCCTCAATTCTCTGCCATTGAAATTGGTATCTCCGCTCATTATTGAACGTAAGCCAGGAATCTTAATCGGCTCATTATTGTCGGTCCCCAATACCCGTTATCTTTCCGTCATTTTGGGAATGACGATGGACAGTTCACTGCATATCTGACAAACAGGCGATATTGTATCCATCTGTGTCTCAACATTTGAATCATTTTCTGAAATAAATTCGCCACGTGCTTCAATAGGTTTGGCCATCATGGCTCAATTTTCGAGGTTGGTGATCGAAATCGGACACGCCCACGACACTGCGTCCACAGTGGGCTGAGAGTGACCCCTTTCGTCATGCCAGCTACGCTGCTTCCGTAGTGAGCAGTGGTCAACCAGAGCGTCTAAATGCAATTTAGTTGATGCTTGATGAATGTCATCGTATTAGATCTGAGGCGGACTCGACCACTCGTAATCCCCAAATCTCCAATGGGATTTCCCATTATTTTGACCCAGGGGAACCAGTTGTGTACCAAGATGAAAGAAATGTGTCGAAAATGAGATCAGCTGCCTCCAAAACATATATTTTGACACCAAATGTGGTAATTTTGTAAAATTCGAATTTTCCCGCCAAAACTGGTCGCCATCTGGAATTATTTCCTAATAATGACTCCGCGGTATAACTAATCACCAAAATGTGTATGGGAATGGATCCAGCTACCTCGAAAGGATATATTTTGATACCAAACTCAATCATATTATGGCAAGTGGATAAAAACTGGTATTTTCCAGTCAAAATCGGCGGCCATTTTGGATTTTTGCCAATTTGACCCATTTGGGCACGGATTTCGGACTGGGACTTTTTTTTGGTGATAATATACGTCTAGACCGACCATAAAACGTGGTCGGCATTTCTATTGCAGCAACTGCCCGAAATGGTGCGAAATTGAGTTAAAATGCCTGGACTACTCGTCTCAGAGTCTTATATACCTTCCTGACTGCATTCTATTTAATCAAGAGCATTAATCAAGAGCATTGTTACTACATGTGGCAATTATTAGGTCCGTAATTAAATACGTATATATATATATAGTGAACGTGTATATATATAATGGACAGTATATCTTATATCGTAGATCAATAACGTGGGGTTCAATGGGTTCTCATACGTGGGGTTCAAATTGGTTCGATGCTTCTAAATAAATATTTGACATGTATACAAAATAGTGTCAATGTGATGCAAGTTATGGAAGACTTTGTCACATACTTATGATAATAGACTAAAGTAGATAAAGTACAAGTACTTCTATGTACTTTTTTGTGTCATATAATAATATTAACATACGAAATACCAAATTAATATTTGACCGCGTCTCCATCATTTTATAGAACCAAATGAAACATGGGGTTGGATCGCCGCTCGAGAGATATAGAGAATCTATTTTGAGTCTTTTTTGATATCACAAGTCGATAACGTAAAAACGAATGGGGCTATTTTTAATTATCGACGAGTGTTGATATTTTTTGATATCAAAAAAGACGACTAGGAGATTTTATTTATCACCCAACCCTCTCTTACACGCACAAATAAATAAATATAATTCTTTGGGAATAAACCAAATTCATGTAGAGCTATATCTAAACCGTTGATATCGCTCAGTAGAATATGAAAGTTATCACACAGGCGATATCTAGTGTAGAATGTGTTTTGGGGTGATAACTTGAATTTAATACCACAGATATATACTTACGAATCATTCACAAAGGGTGTCTCCATTGAAGAGTTGAACATGATGTGTACTTTGCCAACAGCACTAGAAGCATACTGAAACATATAATCAATTACATAATTACCAATAATATCATATGCAACATGAATACAATGGACGTTAACGGCTGGTGCGTTATGAGATGTATCATGAATGGAACTTCGTCCGGACAGTGGCGTTTCATCTATTTTACACGAGGTCTCAGTGTTTTGTCCATGCTGCAGTATGGAACACTGACAAGAAAAACAGGCTCGGAAATCATTTGGAACTTTCTCGACCAACATCGGGATTGATCCCTGGACGCCCTGGTTAATTTGGGAACCAAATAAATCTTCACGACAGCAAACTCAAACATCTTATATTATTCCTGAAGGCTCATGTTAATTATGACCAAAGACTTTGATGGATAGAATTTAAAAAATTAGAATGGACTGAAGTGGAACCAGCGTCATTGATTGTAAGGCAAACGATTGAATCTTACCTGTTGGGAAGCCGCTACCCAAAAGGAATATTCAGCATTTTGTGGACATGTTTTTGTATCGCTGAAATTAGGACATGTCTCATTAAAGATAATTCCCGGGGTTTCTGTTGTCGCACAGAAAAATACATCGTCGGGTAGATAACCTGGATTAAAAGAAATATTAATTATCATTTTTAAAAACAAGAAAAGTGTCCAGTAGAGAAATGTGAAGCATGTTGACTATGGTAATTTTAATTATCTGAAGGCAAGTTTCTAGACGAAGAAAAGCGAAATAAAACTCGTCTTCATTAATTCGGTCATTACAAATATGAATATCACAGCACTTGGCCTTCCGAAAAATATTAAAACATTGGTCAAAGAATGTGTGATATAAGACAATGACCTCAAACAACGACCTCAATGGTATATACTATGTCAATAACTCAGCTATCAGGTCAATATAATCTTCAAATTTAATGCGTTGACACATCCGTAAAGTTTGAACATGCTGCAACATCGACGTATGCCGAATGCCCTACAGTGGTGTAAATTTCAGTTTTAGAATTCATTATTTGTTAGGTTTCCAGTAAAATCAGATTTTTATACGCCCACATATTCATGTGGACGTATTATGCCGTCGCCCCTATCCGTCCGTCCGTCCGTCCGTCCGTCCACAATTGTTTGTGGACTCTCTACGGGTCACAATTCTTATCCGATTTCGACGAAACTTGAAATATAGGTTTATCCCCAAACGATCTCGGCTGCTTTCGATATTGGCATGTATCGGATCGAAACTTCATGGATTATGGCCCCTGTTTGTACCAAAAATCACGTTTTTAGCTTGTGGACCCTATAGAGGTCACAATTTTTATCCGATTTTGTTGAAACTTGAAATGTAAGTTTATAACCCAAAGATCTCAGTTCCTTTCGATATTTGCGCATATCGGACAGTAACTTCCTGAATTATGGCCCCTGATTGTACGAAAAATCACGTTTTTAGCTTGTGGACCCTATAGAAGTCATAATTTTTATCCGATTTAAAAAACCGTTCTATTGTATCACCGTTACACCCTAAGGATGACTGAGTTCGAATTTCGTGAAAATCGGCCCAAGATTGACAGACAAAATGGCCGCCGTTCGTTCCCAAATAGCGTAAGAATATGGTATATCAAGGTTGTAGACCCTATAGGGGTCACAATTTTTATCCGATTTTGTTGAAACTTGAAATGTAAGTTTATAACCAAAAGATCGCGGGTCCTTTCGATATTCGTGCATATCGGACCGTAACTTCCTGAATTATGGCCCCTGATTGTACGAAAAATCACGATTTTAGCTTGTGGACCCTATAGAAGTCATAATTTTTATCCGATTTAAAAAACCGTTCTATTATATCACCGTTACACCCTAAGGATGACTGAGTTCGAATTTCGTGAAAATCGGCCCAAAATTGACAGACTAAATGGCCGCCATAAGAATATGGTATATCAAGGTTGTGGACCCTATAGGGGGTCACAATTTTTATCCGATTTTGTTAAAACTTGAAATGTAAGTTTATAACCCAAAGATCTCGGTTCCTTTCGATATTCGTGCATATCGGACCGTAAGTTCCTGTATTATGACCCCTGATTGTACGAAAAATCACGTTTTTAGCTTGTGGACCCTATAGAAGTCATAATTTTTACCCGATTTAAAAAAACGTATTATTATATCACCCTTACACCCTAGGGACGACTGAATTCGAATTTCGTGAAAATCGGCCCAAAATTGACAGACAAAATGGCCACCGTTCGTTCTCAAATAGCGTAAGAAAATGGTATATCAAGGTTGTGGACCCTATAGAGGTCACAATTTTTATCCGATTTTATTGAAACTTGAAATGTAAGTCTATAACCCAAAGATCTCGGTTCATTTCGATATTCGCGCATATCGGACCGTAATTTCCTGAATTATGGCCCCTGATTGTACGAAAAATCGCGTTTTTAGCTTGTGGACCCTAAAGAGGTCATAATTTTTATCCGATTTAAAAAAACGTATTATCATATCACCGTTACACCCTAAGGACGACTGAGTTTGAATTTCATGAAAATCGGCCAAAAATTGACAGACAAAATGGCCGCCGTTCATTCTCAAATAGCGTAAAAATATGGTATATCAAGGTTGTGGACCCTATAGAGGTCACAATTTTTATCCGATTTTGTTGAAACTTGAAATATAAGTTTATAACCCAAAGATCTCGGTTCCTTTCTATATTTGCCCATATCGGACCGTAACTTCCTGAATTATGGCCCCTGATTGTACGAAAAATCATGTTTTTAGCTTGTGGACCCATTAGAGGTCATAATTTTTATCCGATTTAAAAAAAAACGTGTTATTATATTACCGTTCCACCCTAAGGACAGTTGAGTTTGAATTTTGTGAAAATCGCCCCAAAATTGACAGACAAAATGGCCGCCGTTCGTTCTCAAATAGCGTAAAAATATGGTATATCAAGGTTGTGGACCCTATAGAGGTCACAATTTTTATCCTATTTTGTTGAAACTTGAAATGTAAGTTTATAACACAAAGATCTCAGTTCCTTTCGATATATGCGCATATCGAATTGTAATTTCCTGAATTATGGCCCTTGATTGTAGGAAAAATCACTTTCTTGTTAGCTTGTTCTCTATCCATCTCTCGAAAATGTGGGCGTATCCTGCCTGGCAGCCGCTGGTTAACAATGGAGTGACAAAGAGATTTTTTAAAGGTTCGAAATAAACAGTTTGCGGTTTCTAATTTGGAAGTTAGACTAACCGGTTGGTTAAAAATGGACAATGTTGTTTTTTTTTACCCTGGCTATATCAAATATTTGTCATAAACACACCAATGTCTGGCATCAAAAATAACCCTACCAGAGGCTATGCAAGCTCAGTGAAAGTAATAATAACTCTTATTTAAAAAAAAAACTAGCACAACTATTTGTTTCGATACGGTTCTTCTCCATGATAGCCGAATAAAAGCCAAGCAATATGAATACAATCTCAAAACTCAAGTTTTTGGTGACCAGGATAACCAATGTGCATAAAATCCTACTAACTAGTCGAACAAACCCAGTAAGAGGTTTTTTTTCTCTCAATACTCGGACCTGTAGAGCGTTTACGAGTCTTACCACGTTTCGGTTGATTTTGACAGGGTTTCCCCAAAAGAAAAATCGAAAACTCTCAGCAAATTTAATCGTAAAGAAAGTTATAAAAAAATATTAATTTGTAAGGCGTTTACATAAATTTATTCGAAGAGAAAATGCGGCCTTATAAAAGGCTATCAGAGGTCCGACATCAGATTAATCTCGATATATTTAAATTCAAGCTGTCAGGGGTATTTGCGTGTCTGCTAATTACAAGAATTGTGTACAGACGTGTGGACCGACATACAGGCAAGCGTGGTAATATTAACATGGCCATTCATGCTCAAGCTGGCAAGGGTTATTCGAAGTATACGCCCATAAGGCATCAGCTTTTCGTACCAATTGGCAACCCTAAGTACTTCTCTGTCCTTGCGTTTTTGATCCCGGGACATTCTAATTGAGAACCTCGCCGAAATTTAATAAAGTCACAGCGGTAGTCTATTTGAAGATTCAATATCCGCTTATAAATAACATACCGTAAAATGTGTCTGATATCGGCATTAGTCTTCTACCATTATTGCTGTACATTTTAACTGCAGGGTAGACATCTTCCCAGAATAAAACCTAGTTTAATGTTATTGACAATATATTATGACTAGTGTATTCTGTACAGATCTGAGTAACGTAGATAATGTGCCTTTCATTCATTTGAATAAAATTATATCGATTGGAAAACTTCTTCGTGTTCTTTAAATGATGTAAGCAAATATTACATTACTAATCTATTGGTTGGACAATATAGAAGACATGTTGGCCTTTATTGCCGAGTTCTTGATTCTAATTGCTTTCTATCTTTTTACATTATCTGCAACCGACATTTTGGAAACACAAATCAATATTTATTGATAAATTCGCTATCAAATGATATCAAAAAGTTTGCTATTGTGTCCATTGAAATTTCGAGATATAAGGATTATATCGAGATCGAGTCCCTGAATAGACATAGCAGGACTCGTATAAATGATTGACAACCCCAACAATATAAATGTATCTTATAATAACTGTTTTACCATATTTGGTGGCGTATCGTGGTGGGTTAATTCCAGGTATTGTCCAAAACGTAAGGATGACACGTTGCATGTTTCTTGAAAACGGAATGATTCTAAAAACTGATCTGCTATTAAAGTACAGTTTCTGCGTCTGTTGAATTTAAAACAAATATATTTCTGATTATACCTGTAATATAATATATGTTCTTCTACTGAAATGAAATGAAATGGGGTTTAACGCCCTACTGCTCTCCTCCGAATTGGCAAATGAAGACGGACATACGTCATACAGTGTGCTATGAGGGTAATTTTGCCCGGACAGCGGCACTACGGCCTACTCTTATATCGAATTCCAAATATCAAGGGACCTTTTACGTGCACGCCAATGTGTACACGGGACCTCGGTTTTCCGTCCCATCAGAACGACTAGACAGCTGTATTTGTCAGGCCCTCCGTCCTGCATCACTGAGAAGGGGGAACCACGCCGGAAAATCTGGATGAAATCTCTAGGCAAATGCAGGGATCGAACACCCGACCTCCAGGCTAGCTTGTCTGAACCGACTGGGGTAATGAAGACGGGCATCCGCAATACGGTATACTGCAGTGCAAATTTGCCAGGGCAGCAGCACTACGGACTACTCTTTTTTCGAATTCCAACTGTCAAGGGTTATTTTACGTGTACGCCAATGAGTACACCGGGTTTGGGGTTTTCGTCCGATCTGAACGTCTAGACACAGTACCTTGTAGGGCCCTCCGTCCTGTACCACTGACAAGAGGGGTCATACCGGAAAATAACGCTGGTCTTGCTCGGCCAACACCGGTAGCGAATCCGACAGTCATTGGTTAGCGAACCAGCGTCTTACCAACTGAACCACCGCGGCTCCCAAATAGAAACAAACTTACGCATATAAAATTCAGACTCATTATAATCGTGGCCTTATAATCTATTACAACATTATCACACGCCAATTTACAATATGAATGACATAATTATATATCTTTTAATTTCAATAAAATTTGAGAGACGTATCTTTAACATAACAAACTTAAACTTACTGATTACAAAATATAGATGGCTGAACTGTCATTTGATATTCTAAACAACGATTAATTAAAAGAGATCTTATATGTGGTGTTGTCCCAACATAACATGCTGCTGATGATAGGTAGATATGTGATATGAAGATGAAACTAGCCGGAAATAACATGGCAAATCAGAAACTATTTTTGATGCGTGACCTAAGATTAAAATAAATGTAAATCTGTTATCAAAAGTAAATGATAAGAAGCCTCCAAAATAAAAGGCTGTGAGGCACACATTTTAGTTTTTAAACTCTAATTCACTGATATTATATGGAAGGGTATCACTGCCAATATTAAATGCTGTGCTAAAATGTCTTTTTCATTGAATATGTGTAAAAGTTACAATGTGCAAAGTCCTAATACCGGTATTGATGAAGTCAAAATACCTCTAAGGGCAAAGTTAAATGTAAAACGTCAAATGCAATGTGTAAAATGTGAAATGTTTTATTTGAAAATGCTGTTTTTTGAGCTGTCTACAATTTACAAATCCCTCATTACATTTTATATTTGCGCTGTGTCGCATCACAGTCGTCCTTCACGCTTTCTACATAGCATCTTACGCAGAGCACTAAGTTGGATATGCAAATGTAGGATATCTCTAAATGTCAGTATAGGGTAATGAACTTTAATCCATTTTTTTATTTATTTTTTTTAAAACAAGTATATATGCATTGTGCCCAACAAATAATGAATATACTTAAAGAGAGGAATGGGTATACATGAACGTACTTTTCACTGATATGTAACCTGATATCTGGAATTTAGTATTATGACCCGTATTTTGACATTGCATACCATACCCCCCCCCCCCTTTCCCGTAATCATGTTAATATAGTTTAGTACCATTCAAATCCGATCGGTTTTCAAGGTAAGTAAATTTCTTATACTGTGCCAGGTTCACTTCCTCTTATTGTGTTCTGGCTTATAGTGTATCAGGTTGATCTTGGCTTCGTTTCCGTATATATTAATAAAGCACGTGATATCCTACATTTGCATATCAAACTTAGTGCTCTGCGTAAGATGCTATGTAGAAAGCGTGAAGGACAACTGTGATGCGGCAGAGTACAAATGTAAAGAGGGAAATGTAAAATGTAGACAGGTCGAAAAACAGCATTTTCCAATAAAACATTTCACATTTGACACATTGCATTTGATGTTTTACATTTAACTTTGCCCTTAGAGGTATTTTGACTTTATAATTACCGGTATTAGGATTTTGTACATTGTACTTTTTACACAATCAACGGAAAAGACATTTTAGTAGAGCATTTAATTTTGGCAGCGATACCTTTCCATAATATTCGTGGTCAGGTATCATGATCGATGGCTCCTATACAAGAATAGTCAATCAGTTCCTGCATATTTGAAAAAAAAAACATTTTCAAAAAAATGACCTGTATATAGGGTTTCCAATGTATAATTCTTTCTAGAACACCTGGTATTACGTTTCAATTAACCGAGCAGTCCTACAGTACACAGAGAGGTTCCAATCCCAATGGGTTATAATAATTATAATGTCCAATACTCCTGCACATATGCACCACGACCTTGTGGTTGAGAGCGGCATGGACGTGTCAAGGTCTTTGTCGGCGTAGTTAGGGTGGTAGTACGCATCTAGTACGCATCTACTTCACTGTCCCAACTATCATTTAGTTCTCATCACGCTTTTCCACCACGACCTCGCTAGGCGGTTATGGTGCCGTCGTAATATATCCCGTTCTCCACGTTCCTACCATGACCCGGTGGCAACGTGGTTTAGCGCGGTGGGGACGTACAGGCGTGGTAATGACGCAGCGAAGACTATGAGCCGGGGTGTGCGCGTAGTGAGAACGTGAACAAGGATGAATATTTCTTCGACTCTGCGAGTAGGCCTACTAGTTGCCTTCACACTAGAGGAGCGTAGAGAGTGGGGCAGCGGCCCCTCTAGCTTTCGGGCAATCTGACTTTTCGGGAGAACGGGTCAAGTGAAAACAAAAATTATTATTTCATCTAGTTGGCAAAATAAAGTGCCCGAAATCTAATAAAACTCTAATTTTACTTTTCTATTAATTGAATACCAAGAGTTCGTACTGAACTGATGATTGATTAATGCATTAGTCACTTTGCTTTGTGCGACAATTTTCGGGCAACGATCTGATTGGATGGTTGGAATTCAGGTCGGCAGAGAGTGGGATTTCGGTTACAAACCGATTGGAAACTTTGAAGTTGCTTAATTCACGGGCTAGAATAGCAGAAAAACGCATCTGCGGCGGTTAAATTTTCTAAATTGTCTTGGGGAACGCGAAGCCCCCTATACCCTGCTAAGATTGACTGGTTGTTTGGGATTTGGGATTCGGATAAGTCACCTAAGGTACATGTAGGCAATATTGGGCCACATTGAAGTTGCTGAATTCCCGGGCTGGAAGCTGTTAAATTTTCAATATTTTCTCCTGGCTCGTACACGTATGCATCACAGGGTCATCTTATGTATAAATTTATCTGATATTTCTAGATTTATCTTGGTAAGAGGACACCGGCTTCTGGTTATTAAAAAAGTCACGTCATGGTCCAAATATATAAATAATGAGTTACTCCAACTTTGAAGTTGCTTAATTCATGGGCTAGAATAGCAGCAAAACGCATTTGTTGCCGTTAAATTTTCTCGGGGAACGCGAGGCCGCCATACCCCGTTACAAATGACTGGATGTTTGGGATTTGGGATTCGGGTAAGTCATCTAAGGTAGGCAATATTGGACCACATTGGAGTTGCTGTATTTACGGGCTGGAATAGCAGGAAAACGCGTTTGCGGCTGTTAAATTTTCAAAATTTTCTCCAGACGGTCTCATCTCCGTGGACTGTAAACGATTGATTTGTTGATTGGAATTGGAGTTGCTATATTCACGGGCTATAGTGAGGGCGAGGCTACACGGTAAGATCTCGAAGACAACTGTAACCCGGAATCTTTTCGGGAATTTCAGGACTGCCCCACCACGAAATTTATCTGATATTTCTAGATTTATCTTGGTAAGAGGACACCTGCGAAGCGTGATACGGCCTTCATAGAAGGCTTGTGGTTATTAAAAAAAAATTAAAAGTCACGTCATGGTCCAAATGTATAAATAATGAATTACACCAACCATATATTTATCGTTGATTTATACGTATACAGGGGGTTGGATGACCGAATGGTTAGCACGTGCGCGCTGTATCATAAGGTCTGTCATTGAGTCAACTGGCGTGGTTTCGATTCCCCGATTGTACTTGACATGGAGTAGGGTCGCCTGTCCAACCTTGGGGGTTTTCTCCTGTTCCTCCGGTTTCCTCCCACTGCTAAAGACCCCTACGCGTAAGCGAATTATTGAAATAAAATTGAACCATGTGTTAGTCCCGAAATGGCCTGGTTTGTGTCGAGTGGACGTTAAACCCCATACTAATAGTATTATTAGTATACTTATTCAACCAGGACGTTACCCGAACGCAAGTGGACCGGACCATTAGCCCATGTCAGTTGTTTCGCCTGCTATATTTTCTGCTATTTACTCATTTCTAAAACTATATTTTTGACGATGGGGATAAAGAAATGCTTTTAAAACATTTTCTTATAACGCTGACTCCATCCGGGTTAACTGGTAACGTGGTGTAAATAACGCATTGGCAATCGGCAATTTTATATTTTTCAGACAAATCTACACACGTATCACCCTTTTCAGCCATCCTTGAACTATCCCGACCGTGCTCTATCGCATGGTACGGCTGGGAGGTCACAATTTATTTCCAATTTTCCCTTATCGGGCCGTAACTTTCTGGATTATGGACCGTGGTTGTACGAGAAAAATCACGTTTTTAACTTGTTGATCCTCTAGAGGTAGCAATTTTTATCTTCTTTTCAAAATCGTTCAAATATATCACCGTTACACCATAATTATGGTTTTGAGTCCAAATTTCCTGAAAATCGGACCGAAACTTCCTGTCAAATTGCCGCTCCCCTTTACGCAAATAGTGTAAAAGTATGTAATACCAAGGTTGTAACATTTTTTATCCGATTTCGATGAAACGTAAAACAAGTGTTGGGGGAGTTCAAGTTTGGTGCGCATCGGACATTCCGTTCTAGAGTTATGCCAAATGCCTTTTACGCAAAATGTGAAATATGAATGAAGTTTGTGGACCTCCCAGAGGCGACAATTTTTGTCCGATTCATGTTATAAAAATTAAACTATGTGTTGAGGATCAAAAGTTCTTGATGAGTTTCACTTTGGTACGCATGTGACCTTCTTTTGTAGAGCTTTAGCCCCTGCAATAGAATGTTAGAACAACTCTATCCCGCCGTGTTTTAATATATCAGCCAATATGTCATAGATACAACGGAAATGAGATGACATGAAATATTCGACTGCTCAGTAAAGTCAACTAATCTTAACCCAGGGATGAATATAGAGCAGAGTAGGGTTTTTTTTTTCTTCTGAAAGTCTACGTTTTACTTCTAGAGTCTCACTTGTATGTTAAAATCAGGTCTCTTCCAGTTACGTCACTGTATCTAACTGAATAGTTACATGCGTGTAATAGCCTGGAGAAAAGGGTACTTGCCCCCCACTCCGCAGGGCCTGCCATTATATAGGTGTCGACATTGTGAAGCATGGCTTCCAGGGTGCTGGATATAGAAGCCTGATACGCCAACTTGATAATCTAGACCTCACGCATACCGCTTTACTATCTTTTTTTTAAACAACTAAAAATGACTTTAATTTGCGTTAGGAACGTGCAAACAAAGAAATATGGTGGTAACTAATGTAATTTGGGTTGAAATATTGGATTATATGGGTAGATTTGGTTGGGTTTGGCTAATTCGTGCTAACCGTACACATAGATAGCACTTCCAATCGAAGGACGAAGGAAGGGAGAAGTCGTGATAAATAATCTCGTGTTCTCGGCGAGAGATTCTTCGGTTCTCGCTCTGTATCCCCGCGCTCTCGCCTTAGACAGTTTAAAATGGCGGCAACAGGCTTCCATAGGTTTAAATTGGTATTTATTACCGGTTTTGAAATTGGTCGCAGGGGAGACATTCCTCACGGGGTCAATCACTTTGAATTGCACATGACGTGAGTATTTTTAATAAAACTAAGAAATATCACGAACTAATTTTTCATCATCCTAGGTCAGTGCTTATGTGGAGACTTAACCTCTCCCCCAAATTCTTAAACATAACTCTCCCCCAAATTCTTAAACCTAACACGCGGTTTTGAAAACCTGCCATTCGACTGACATCTATTCTTGGATAGTATCTTAAATAGTTGAACTTGAATATATTATTTACATATATTTGTAGTCGATTATCGGCTAAGTTATTAACGAAAATACATATTATTATTATTTCATAATGACTGACCTTTCACACTATTATAACAATCCACACTATGCGCTTTTCTTGACTATTCTTCATTGATGTCACAATGGATCCCGGATATAACGTTGTAAGGAACACCACACTCGTCATAAATGGTGTTACAGTATTATTATTACATAGCGAAATGAAATGAAATGGGGTTTAACGTCATACTGCTCTGCTCCTATACTGGGCTAATGAAGACGGGCATACGCCATACAGTATGCGATGAGGGAAATTTTGCCAGGGCAGCGGCACTATCGCCTACTCTTATATCGAATTCCAGCTGCCAATGGATCTTGAACGTGCATTCCAATGTATACACGGGACCTCGGTTTTTCGTCTCCTCCGAAGGACTAGACAACTGTTCTTGTCAGGCCCTCCGTTCTGCACCACTGACAAGGGGAAACCACGTCGAAAAATCCAGATAAACTTTCTCGGCCAATCCAGGGATCGAACACCCGACCTCCAGGCTAGCGAGCCAGCGTCTTAACCACCTAGCCACCGTGGCTCCCTTATTACATAGCAGATATTAGCCCATATTATTATATAGCCCAGATTCAATTATAGAGTGTTCGAGTGTGCGGAAGCGTATAGGGGTCATGCAAAATTTTGTAGAAAATCTCGAGATCCTGCGATCCTGTGATACTTTCTCGAAATCCCGTGATCACCTGATAATTTTCTCGAGATCTCAATGTAATGTTCTCGAAATCTCCTGCGTTAATGTTCTCGAGATATTGACATCCTGTGTAAATTTTCTCGAGATCCCGAATTAATATGAAACCTTATTATGATAGTGTCTCCACGTTGTGATGCAACCATTGGCTCAATACTTCGCACCAAATTTGATAAAAAAAAATACTCTAACATTTGTTACAAAGGAAAACTACTAACTAATGAAAGAATAAACGGACAATCGATAGTGTACCCATGATTTACACTAAATTTGAAATATGGTTAAAATCGTTAGGGTTCATCGTCTTATGGCCCAAATACTTCACACCAAATATGAAATTCATAACCCTACCTGGTTAGCTTTAATGTGTGAAGCTTTGAATTACAGATATGCCTGTTAAATTATTTCAATTTAATGTTTGGGCGACGTTTAATAGAAAATGTAATTTGTTGCATGGTTTTCAGACCATATTTTGTTTTAGAATAAAGCTAGACACAGAGTATATTGTCTTGTGCCACAAATGCTTCGGAGCAGATTTTAAATAAAATCTTGTTATATCTCTGGGACAGAAAACCTTATATTGCGGAAATTAACAGGGGTCATCCTTGTCGCGGAACACTGAATTTCAAAAATCCGTTAAAAACAAGGTTTTCAAAGAATAGAGAGTATAACTCCGGAACGGAAGATCGCTAACCATTGAATATCAATAAAGTTCATGAGAGGGTAACTCTCGAAAAGAAGTTTGCCGAGTACTGAAAATCGAAAGGTCCTATTGCTTCACACCACATTTGAAAAACATAATCAGTTAAAAACTGTAGTCTCTATTGCGTTAACAAGTTTTTCGGATAAGGGGAATAACCCCAGAACGGTAAGATGCAGCTCCAATGCTTTACACTAAATTTGAAACAAATCCGTTAAAAACTGTAGGCTCTATCGTGCTATTAAGGTTTTCGGGAAAGTGTGTGTGTGTGGGGGGGGGGCGGTAAACTCCGAAACGACAGGTTGTGGGGCGCTGAAAATACGTTAAATCTATGCGCACACATAAAAATAATCGATATCTCGAGAAAATTACGAAGATAAATAATAGGATTTGTACACACTATTTAGTTGCTTTTCCAAGCTTGTCTCTTAACTTAAGGAAGTTGTTTGACATCCATGTTCTAATATCCCCAATGCAACATTCTAGCTGGGATTAAGATGGGTTAAAGTTGGAAGAAGACCTGAAGAATAAATACAACTGGGTAACATCTGGGGTCGTCTAGAGTATCGCGCTTCGGGCTCTAGCTGGCCCATCACCTATGGCTTGCGGTCGTTGTTTCCGTCCCTGGTTTAACAATATGTGGCTTGGGGATAGGGAGTCTTAAATACCTCGTAGATTTACTCCGGGTGCTCTGGTTTCCTCCCTTTGGGAAAGAAACCTGTGCATGCGCTGATGCACTGAATATACTAAAATAAGACTTGTCTGCTGGTGGAAGCAGACGTTAAATCCTACGAACTACATCTCATGTTACTACATACAAAAACCCTTGAATAGGCAAAAGGTAGATTAAGATGCTGATTAATGAGAAAAATAGATATTGTACAAAGTACTGTTTAATCTTCGTTTGCAAATATTTTGATATATTGTCATTATTTCGTAAGGGAAGTCCTTACCCCGCAAATCACGAATATTGAGTAAGATTTAGCCGAAAATGTACATTTTAACAATTTATATATGGGACTTTATTCGGTTCCTGTTCACGGAATTCAACCTGTTTGATTTGAGTAAAGCAAAAAATAATTGATTTGTTTATTGGTTCTTGGTCGAGATATAATTTAAGATAAAAACTAACTAAAATCGGTACACAAACGGAGTTCTGCTAAATATTAAAAACGAAAAGTATGTCCCATCACTAATCGCACTACACACAAGATCATCCCAGTTCAATTCTTTGTGTTGTTGTTTATTACAAATTTAAAGTTCAATAAATAATACATGATATTATGGACAGGGCATAACATAAAAGTTATTGTATTTAAAACAATTTCATACAACTCTTTTAAAGTACCAGTTTTGGACGCTAGGCCATTTTGGAGCATAAAGTGACAAAGGGTAATCAAAATACTATACACTGGTATGCGCGACACAAATTTTACATTGCTAAATTTTTTAATAGACCCGAATTACAAAAGCAGCAAGAAGCTTGGTGCAGTATTTTAGCGATATAGGAATGTCTTGCAAACTACAATATTGTGAAAGTATATACACGAATATTAGTCCAAAAATGGTCCAGTTCCCGTTCAGTAGATACAAAGTTATGGTGAATTAAAATTTCATCGATCTACTTGTATGCTTCAGGCGCATAACAAGACGACGTCATCGTTCATAGCTCTGGTGGGCCCAGTTTAAATCCGATTGAATTCAAGCCGGGAAATGATCTATCATTGGTATTTTAATTTCTTAATTAAATTTTAAATAATCAATGGGAGTACATATTAAACTTGTATTAATCGAAAATACAAATGACGTATTGAGCCTTTAACTAACACGACACTAATCTTTAAAATAAGTAAAATGGGGCAAACTTTTTATGAAACTATTTTCTGGTTTCAAATTGACTGCGAATAGATTTATGAAGCACGGCAACATATTATACAAAACATTTCTACGTGGTTTGTTTGAGATGAAAATATATGTATTTTAAGATAAGAATTTCGTTTGCTTGGTAATACAACGAGGGTTGTTTTTATCCACACTGTCCTTTGTTAATCCCCATTAATGCAGCAGCAATTCAAGATGACACGCACCGGTATATAAGATATGTATTCATATCATTATTTTTCTGGGTTTATTCTCATTCCAGTGTAGTATCGAGTTTATTAATGTCTTGTTGTAGTAGTTCACAAATACATAATGAAAAATGAATATATTGACAATTTTAGTTAAATTACTACAATCTGGACGGAGTTGATTATGGGCTTACCATATGAATGAATGTCCAAATAATGGTTTATGTAACATTTGAAGCCAGAAAAAAAGACCTAAAATAGGCAGATTTAATTCTTACATAATGCATCTTTACGTATTGAAATAATGGCTAAAGACATTTCTGCATTAAATACTGTTTCAACCATTAAGGAACGCGAAGGTTTACTTACCAATTGCCACTCATGCAAAATACTTAGCAAATCGGGTTGTAATTCATCTAGCCGTTAAGCGAAAGATGTCAAAAACCACTATAGTTTCCCCTGTATGCAGGGAATCTATCGATGTTGTTTAGCAGATTTCTTTCATGTAAACAAATTTAAATAAACTAAATTTCCTTGAAGGTGTAGGAGAATTGGAAAGCATTTGAAAATGGTAGGCGGACAAGTATGAAATGTCATGAAATGTCTGGTCCGTTGGCCAGATGAGCTAACAAAAACACTAATGCGGAGAAGAAATATACTCATTTTTATTTTCTATTTTTCTATATTTCTCTTTGAATTAAGCTGGCATGTCCACCTTTCCGTTCGTCAGAGAAAGCATCAATTTGGTGCGTTATAGGATTTTTGTAAACAGCCTGGATGTTGGACATATATCTATCTCTCTCCAATAACACATGACCGTACTTATTCTCTAATGCATCTAATATATTCTGAAATATATGAAACAACATCAGTCATACACAAAGAGACAACAACAGTATGTTATTATAGTCTAGTATGATAACATAATCTATAGTGTAGTATGTTATCGTAGTGTATGTAGTATGTTATCATGGTGCATGTAGTATGTTATCATAGTATATAGTATGTAGTATGTTATCATAATGTATGTTGTATGTTTGTAATACTATTTAGGTTATTTTAATTCTATGAAAGGTGCTTTGTTTAATATATTGAAGTGGTTAAACTAATGGGTGACAACGAGAAATGGATTAAGTAGGTATTTTGCAAGATTCAAGTTTCTTAGACTAACTCACAGACAATTCCCGTCACCATCAATTGCTGGAAGTAGGGCAATATCGTCCAGGCATCTGGTGCATAGATCAGTACAATTAAATAGAATAACATTGACGTAAAATGGTGCCCATACGAAACACTTACCCAAAATATTAATTGCCCCGTCCTAATAGCTGACACATCGATAATTTCTATATAAGAAAGAGCGAGGTTAAATTTCCCTTCAGACATCATTAGTATTCTCAGAAGGATGTTTGCACAGTCCCCTCGCCTGAGAGGCTGGGAAACATACATCATTTAGAGATCCTAGGAGAGACATCGTTCGGAGTTTTATTTTGGTTTTTTTCTAACAATATTTATTCAATATTAACATAATTGTAAAGTCATAATGTTCATTTATGGGATTTGAAAACAAGCCGGAGCTTATATAAATCCATTTCCCGTAATAAATTATTTACAGACATATAAATACATTGTTTATAAACATAATCACGAATTACATACAGTAATAAATTACAAAAGCAAAACATATTTATTCTCACTTGATGAAAATGTACAAAATACTTAATATACAGAGGTTAATGTGGTTAGCGACACGATTTTCTCATGTTGATAGTTATGTCAACCTCGAGATGTAGATAGTAGAAAGGGAAAGGAAAGTAAAGTCTAAAACCTTGAACAGGTAACCAAAGTGGGAAGGTGTTACGTAGTTGACGATTGTCGTTGGATTCTAGTTAAAGTTATTGGTGGAAGCTTTCGGGGTGCAATGGGTATCACTAATCATTATAAAGACAGTCGAACTTGACATTAATGTTCCTAGGGGAACATCATACCCACAGCCTCTTCGGTTTAGATGCGGGAATGGCTCTCGCCACAGAACACGCACTAAGTGATAAAGAACTTATATTAAACTTATATTTAATGTCATAGCTGGGTGTGCAGTTTACTGTATGTAACCATTATGGACGTTATAAAGATATAAAAAAAACATAGTTAATCAACAAAGTGTTCAAGAGTCAATTGATCTCTGAAGTTTTATACACAACGTGAAGTCAAAGTTAGTTCCGAATTAATCATAGTGTCACATTACCGCTTTTCGGTGCCGTGACGAAGGACAGTCACATCTGTCCCCGCAGTGTCACATGTTATTATAGTGAATACTATGTTATCATAGTGTATGTAGTATGTTATAATCAAAGAAGTGTAGTATGTAAAGTCGTTCAGTGCACCTGCACTACCACGTATAGGTACATATAGTTTCAACCTGAATGTCAGAAGCCGAAGCTAGCATGGGTATAGGCTACCAGCACAAACATCAGTCTAAAGTTCAAGATATGTATACGCTAATTGAACTAATTAAATGAACTATTTAAGTGGTATTGGGTGGTCTAGAAACTCGTGCACAATACCTGCCAATACTTGTAGCTAAATTGATTTGGATTCCACAGGTCAAAGCTTTTGAGATAAAGGCCACATGTACAGACTCCTCATGTTAAGTTGTTTAAACAATGGCAATCCTCAAATGAGAAAGGCCGTCTGGTGTTTCAGGGAGAGTAAGCGAATTGTGACAGCTTTGGCAGAAAAACTTAGCATAGAACTGTTGGGAGATCGAAGACGCATACCTAAATCCCGGGGTTCGACAATGTTAGCAAAAAGGATAACATACATTCACTATTCTATTAAAGTTCGGGGCTCGGGGTATAGTGTTATCAAGAAGGTTAAGAAACATTTACTATGCTACTATTAGACAGCTTGGCGGTGTCGCGGTGTCACATCGTACCCAGTTTGAAATTCGAGTGAATCCTCGTCGGTTACATATCTGTTTGGTTCATTGTTTTGGTATTGTGCCTATCGTATAACAGCATGTATGAGCGGTGATTAATTCCGCTGCTTTTTAAAAAAAAATATATATATTCTGTACGAAACTCTTTATTAGGGCGGTTATCAAGTTTATTAGATAAACCGTCGATATGATGTTGTATTTGGTATTTACATGGTGTGTACCCCTGGCTTGTAAATTGTAAAATATAGATAAAGTAAATTAAACATACATTATGCAAGAGCTAAATCTGTCTATTGCAGGTCTTTCTTTAGGCCTGAAACATTATCTTAATTTTTAATTAGACATTAATTAACCTATCCAGACCAAAATCAACTCTAGATGGTATCGCTAGCCTGTGATCTTTAGTGGATTACTGCATAACTTCCTTTCACGATTTAACGATTAAATGGATAATCGAGACGAAACTATGCTGTTTATCGTACTGACTTTAGTAATGATGATCAAGGCTGGCCGGAAATTTCAACTGCTTAGTTCTCGGTTCATAGTGGATCAATTTGAATGAAATTTTCAGCAAATTGCCTTTACATTATCTAGTTTTTAACTATTATAGTGAGAACTGCCAACTCGTTATCGAATCTCCCATAATGTATCTTTAAAGATATAATTAGTATTTTGCTATCTTCGGAATAACAGGGATATACAAGACCAGAACTTTCTTCGACTGGAACAGTACCTCGATTAAATCAAGAGACCTTTTTGATATTCTTGAGAGCGGGGAATGTTCCACAAGCGAACCAGAAATGATCTTATGACCAGTCAAAGAAAACTGCCCTGAGGCTTATTTTGACACGACTTTTCCTTTTAACTGATCACAGCATTTATTTCAACTGAACAGAAACTTGCCTGAGCAAAATTTAAAAACCCAAAGTCTGATTAGCTCACCTGTGCAAATCCAGTTTCATATAGCAACTTATATGCACGAAAGTCAAAATGTATTCTTTTTGGTCTGATGGCTTCTTCTAATGTTTGGTTTAACCAAAATATTCCCAATAAAGCCTACATAAAAAAATAACAAATGAAACCCCATTATAAACATAATACACAAGCCTATGTGACCCCCCCCCCCCCATTCTTTGCATACTGTAACTGCTTTGTTCAGTGCCTGTGCTCAGTTGATTTTTTATGATTAATTAAATTATCTAAATAACTATTTATTAAATCAATGTTTATTTCCTCTTCAACTCTCCATTATATCGAAAAACAAAATAATATATCTTGGAAAAATCATCATTCTGAAATATAAACTGGTTTACACAGGTATAGGGGAACCAAAGAACGGTGATTGCTATCTCAGCCTCCAAAGAGGCACTTAGATAATCTGTCGCCCCAAGAATGCCCCCCCCCCCCCCGGTCGTATGCCAAGCTCAGACACACACCCCCACCCCGATGTAAGGGCCTTGATAATACATCAATTTATACATGAATTTGTGACTTCAAAGTGCAATATTCTCAATAAAGAAATACAGAAATGGTATGAAATGGGCTTTAACGTCCTGGTGTTCTGCACCGATTGAGTTAGTGTAGACAGGATTACGTCATGAGGGAACTACTACCTAGAATTATATCGAATTCCAAAAGTCAAGGGTTCTTTTACGAGCAGACAAATGTGCACACAAGACCTCGGTTTTGTGGCCCATCTTAATCGACTGTACGTTGTCCTTTACTAGCCTCTCCGTCTGGGAACCACTGACAATAAGGAACCAGCTCAGAAAATTCTGATGAACTTTCTCGGCCAACACCAGGATCGACCAAGGTCCTTCCGGTTAGCGAGAATTTCTTGTATGCCTCGTCTTAAAGTATCTAATATTGAGCTGATTCGTCAGAATCGCATAACGAGGCTTTTGTTTTTAACTCGGGTATGATATTTCATGTACCGTTTACTTGTAATCGTAGGTGCTCTGATAAACGCGATATAACCCGACTGTAACCTTATAAAGAATCTCACCCGAGACTACAGCTGCGAGTTGCCGGTGATCAACAAAAATATTGGCTATTTGTTCTTCTCCCAAAATAGCAACACACAGCTTCAGATAGTTGGATCGATCTTTGATGAACGTATCCGATGTTTTTAAAATTCGTTTTTTCGTTTTCTTTCATTTTATATTCCATATTTTATGTTTTAACCAATGTCCCTGTATGTTCCTTTTCGAAGAAATATCAAATATCAAAATTTGCATTGGCTTAATCCACGTTAAAATATACTCAATTAAATCATTTAACATTTAATTGAGAAATAGAAATATCAACGGTAGATGGTCTTCCAGCTTGGATTTAATTGGATTAATAAAAGGCCATCTCAAGATTTCGTAGAAAATCATAGGCTTCGCAGGTTTATCGTCTGTAGTGGATTCTGAATGTTGACACAAAATTTGTTTGTCTGTCTGTATGTTCAGGGTTGGTGGCCACAGTAGGGTTGTCCCGGGGCTGAAGTTTAGTGTCTAAGGGTAACTCAGAGTAGCGTAGGCCTGGTAGCGATGGGCTACCACTTCCGGTTTCGGAGTTATTCTACTTCCGGTTCATGGCTATACCAGTGCTATACTGGGTCAACTACTAGTATCTTTACCAATACTGAACGGGATTAAACCATATGCTCATCTTATGATATTGTTACCTGGGCTAAACTCGTTGCTATTCTATCACCACCAGATGCGCCTATAACCATTAATAAATCATCATTTTTATCTAATAGTATAGAAGGTGACTGTCCAGTTTTAGCAATTTTCCCAGGAACTATCATGTTATGCTAAATAAAAGAAAATTGAATTAGCAATATGGATATTTAGCCTCGGTGGTAATTTTGCTTTCGTCATTGCCAGTTCGTTAAATTGTTATGAGGATCTGTCAAAAACTTAACAGGGTGACGTCCCGTTTAATCCCGGCTTGATTACTAAATACCACTGATACAATTAACGGCATACTTATACGTCGAGGAAAAAACTCTGAAACTGCATTTGAGAAACGTTAAAAAAAGGTACAATGTACAATTAAGGAAAATAAGATAAAAATAACATAATTATGTAAAGTTAATAGAAAATGGGCGGACCGACATTTTGGACAAAAATAAAATCTTACCGATCCGTTTTTATTATTAAAGCTTTTCATTGAATTATTTAAGATTATGCCAGTTGATTTGGAATATATCAAAGAACCAAAGCTGTGTAAAAGCAAAAAGTTCATTAGAAAGCAACAAAACACAATAGTCATATTTAAGTTTCAACAAGTCGGTTCAAAACTGTTTTCCAATCGGATGAATATTTATAAAAAAAAATCATGATTAATTATAAAAGACAAAACAAATACATAATCAAAATTGAAATTGAAAATACTGCCAATTCCAATGACTTGTGATTTCGGACAATAACCGATTTTTTCTATGCCCGGCCCAAAGGCTTTGTTGCGAGCTTCTTCCCAGGCTCCATTTCGGACAACCACAAGGTCGGCCGCTGTCACCTGTCATTATGAAATACTCCCACACCTCCTATTTCTGGAATAAATCTGGTCCGGTAATTGCAAGAGAATTTGCATTTAGTTTGACTGAAATCTCGAAACATAAACGGTGTTAGAAACGGAAAGAAATGCATAAATGTTTTTAATTAATCCGAATGGAATTAAGTTTACCCGGCGTTGGTCTGCTGTGGTTGTTATCTGAATACACGTGAAGCTTACAAAACTCAACAATGTGATACTTTGGGTGGCCATGCGCACGAAGACCATTAATCATTTTTATACGCCCACATTTTCATGTCTATGGTCTTCAATTCTAAATTTAATCTTCATTCGGCCAGGTTGGGTCTTTAACATGAGGTCGAAAATCTACGTTTCATTTGCATAACAATATGATGAGAATTGGAGTCATCTATGCCACCTAGATGATTGTGCTATCTATAATATGATACTCACTAATTATTTATACTACTTGTTGCTGAAACTGCGTCCCCGTCCGTACCTAAAATTGATACGTGTGTTGTGCCGTGCAATTGCAATTGCAAATCGTCCGTGGTTACGTTTGTATAATATTCACGATCTTCGGTCCTGACGAGGTTTATTCTCTTTCTTACTCTTGCAGCCATTTCTTCTGTACCTAACGACTGCATAAACTAAAATACAGAAATTACTATAGTAAGTTACGCATAGTCCCGGATTAACCATTAAGTAAAATAAGCACGCGATTAGAGCACCACTGGGGGTTGGAGGAGATGGGCTCAGGGTCATTTTCCCGGTGGCGGATTTTACCAATGGTGCAAATAGTGGATCACGGTGGTTAACTGGGTAAGACGCTGGCTCGCTAGCCTGGAGGTCGGTTGTTCGATTCCTGCATTGGCCGAGAAAGTTCATCCAGATTTTTCGGAGAAAGTTCATCCAGATTTTTCGGAGTGGTTACCCCCCCCCCCCCCTGTCAGTGTGATTTCACACAAATCAGGTACGATGAAATCGGGGGTGGGGGTAGATTCCGTTCCTTTGGAATCCTATTACCAGTATTGGTGGGAACAGTTATTGTTCTTGATGGTGGAGTAGATGTGCCAGGTACAGGCGTTGATTGTATAATGGTGACCAATGGCGTGATGTATGTTAATTCATTTCGTCTCTTGCACTGATCTCTTGACAATTTCCACAACTTTTCCTACCAAAACAATGGCTTAAGAAATTTATAAATTTTGAGTAGCGTTTATAGCAACATATAAACCCAATGAGAAATATTGTTGAACCAAATAATTAATTAAAGATACAATATGGTCGCAAGGGCCATTACACAATGGCGCCACTGAACCCACCATAAATAAATGTTAACCATGTATGGATATATGATATCGCAGACAATGAAGATGGTATTATTATCAATATTATTAATGATGCAGTATGTAATATTTGAAGAGGGACATAATTGACTTACCTCTTCTAAGCCTGGTGCAAACTTTGGGTCTCCTATCCGTTTTGAATAAGCACCAGCCCATTTCATGATTTCAGTCAGTAAATGGTATGTTGGTATAACTTTATCTGGTTTGAAGTGATCATTTGTTATGTTGTAACCTATAATTATATAATCATATAAAACATATTCACATTACTGACAAGAAACGGAGATTGATGTTCAGTTGAACGTGTTGGGGACTGGGGTTATGTGGCAGCCACGAAGAAAATATTGGTGTTAGCCATTATTACATATGTGACAGAACTGGTTAAACACATTTCAAATAATAAACACATTTTCATTATCAACGGAATTATCAGTGAAATGAAATTCGATCGTGTGTCTTTTACCGCTCGTTACTTCAGTCGGTTATATAGAAGGGTAACTCCTGTTTGTCATTTTTTGTCGTCACTTCACGTTTCTTAAAATGTCTGTTACACATCTACTGTAGCAATGATCTCCGTGTTAAAATTATATTTGGAATGTGTTTACCAGTTCTGTCACATATCTAATAATGGCTGACATCTAATATGATTGTCCTTTAACTGGGATAAACCAGGTATAACAGGTATTGCGATACAAGATACCGTATTCTTCTATCATTCATTAAAAGCCCTAACGTTAACACGAAATGAACTATTAAAGCCGAAGTCATGTTTTTGTCAACTTTTGAAATGAATTTTGGAAAGAAAGATTTTAAGATTGAATGAAGAAGAAGTTCGGCTGGAAATGAATTCTATCTGTCCCCAATGGCATCAGCAAACGTGCTCTGTCCAAAAGTCACAAGTTTCACTTTAGTATTATTAGCTAAATGAGATTGTTTGAACGACAAATGTTGTTTAGCAACGTATACTACTGAATTATTTCGCAGAGGTGACCGGGAGCCTGTCTACATGACGCACTGATATTTTTTAAATTCCATTTTTCCATGTTCAGTTTTCAGTTAGTGAGATTGTCTTGTGATCTTGTATAATCGTTGATCATAGGGCGAAAATGAATGTAAAGCCTGGGGCCTGTTTCACGAAATTTTAACTAAGATAAAATCCAAATTTTAGTAATTTGATTGGATAATATTAGACTGATTGTAGTGCTTAGCCAATCAAAATTGAAGTATCTACTAAAATTTGGATTTTATCTTTAGTTAAGATTTCGAGAAACAGGGCTCAGATATTAACAGTGGAGAACTGTATCGCTGGCAATACATCATTTTATTTTCAGTAGCATGGGCCCAGCATGGTGTTTGGGCTAGGGTCACGTAATTCCTTAATCCACGCTTCTCTCTCTGACCACATGTCCTCAATCCTTCCAGGTCATGAACAGACTATACTAACGATTGACATGCCAGGAGGTCGTTGGGGACAAGCAGCTATTTATATTCACCCGGCGAAATATTGCTTACTAAGTGAGTAGGCTACTTACCTTCTAGTACTCTCAGAATAAAAGCCAAAATGATTCCAAAATGTGGACCGTCTGTTGACGTCAAGACGAAATGTTCGAATTCATGTTTATAAGCATCGTAAATAGAAGGACGGAAATCTTCCAAATCTTCTAATGTGAGAACAGCCCCTGAAATAAATTCAATTTTCAAGAAATTATTTGTCTTTGATAATTACCGACACAGTTACACGTCTACCCACAGAAAAAGTTTTCGCAATACCTAAAAAAACTGTACAAAGATCAATCGAAAGAAATGTACCACGGAGTGTTAAAACATTCCATAACCATATCTATTATATACAGCTTCAGAATGTTACAGATCGGAGCTACTCTGTCATTCGTAATACAAAAATTAAGAATTTTGATAGCGGGCTTTTCCTGGACGAATAAACAAACCTATCAAAATAAAAAAAACATACATCGCGTTATATGTCTACGTCAGTTTTGGGCTTCATGTTTCTTTCGTCCAAAGGAAAGGTACTAACCCATTCAAAAAGGCTGGAAGGGGTTCTGATCGAAAAACGACAGATCGACAGAAGACCTGTGCAGGTGCAGACAATGTACATCCACGTGGGCTTTATTTTCTTTCTCATTTTTGTGTTGTTTACATTTCACTTTAGACCGTTTATGTGCTTGTATACTAATTTGTTTTCATGAACATTCTAATATATGGGGAAGGGTTTTGTACATAGACAAAAATGGTTCTAAAAGCACATATTAAGGTAATATGAATATATGTAAAGTGATTTATAGTCAGTTTTGAACAAAAAATATTGTAATTTCTAATCAATTATGTTCGGTGAAATACGTGAACAGTTCAAATTGAATGGCAGTCGTTTACGCCTGTAGGGTACACGACTCGTGTACTGATTATAAAATGTTAATTATGTCTTAAATATTGGATATTAGGATCATATAGTTTCATGGCAAGATAATGGCATAAGTATTGATTGAAATTAATATTGATTTCTAATTCGTGTTTTTAATGGAAAATATTGAGTTAGAGACTTAGCCTACTTTAAAGAAAGTAGAAACATAGGCCTATAACACAAATTTGGGAGGGATCATTGGGTATAAAACCAACAGTATATCAATAATAAAATAATTAAGATATCATACTATTACCTTCCTTCTGTAAATCTGAAATCAACAATTCAGCACCCTCTCCTTTATACAAATAATCAGCTCCATGTTCTGCTATTTTTTTTAATGTTCGCAGTAAGTGGGGTCTGTAAATTATCTCCCCTTCCTTCTTAACTTCTCCGTTTTCGTGACAGAAGAGTTCACTTTAAAAAGACGACAAATCTTTGTTAAACATGCCACCGCATTCACATTTTAGATTTTTCTTTAAACAATGAAATAGATTCTAATAACTCCTAACAGTTAATACGATGGCGCATGTGTATTCTAAATAGAATACCAGACACCAGATCTCATTCTTGGTGAGCTTAAATGGCTAATTAATAATGTTTGTTGTAGGCCTACTTTTGCATTAAAGGTACAACACTAGCCAATATTGTACTATTTTAAAACGTAAAGACTGTTAGAATCATGTATAAAAGAACCTTCATGAAGAATGGTCTGGTTTGTGAAATGGGGTAGTATTATAGCGTCGTCGACTATCTAGATCAATATGAGACTGGCGTGCCGTTTAGCCTATGTGATGAGCGATGTATCAGCCTGTTGACTTCGGTTTTCTTCCTACACAAACGACTGGTCCGTCCTGCAGGCTTTGCTATCGACAAGTGATAAAAATCCGAAGAACATGATATTGTAAGTCCTCAACAAAACTACTATCCTTACTATTTGACTAACGCACCGTGTGTACCACAACTATATTATTTAAAAACAATTATTACCAAATACCAGGAAACATTTTGTGTAATGTAACATTATGTTTCTCCAGTAAAACGATCGTCATATAATTCAACTTATTCTCACTGTCTTTAGAGAATGGTACACCGTTCTTTAGCATTGCTATTGCGGGCGCAAATAGGTCTTCCCATGGTAGTTTACCATATCTCTGATGGGCTTCCCAAAATGCCACAATTTCATTAGGAATTCCAATGGACAATGGTCCTATAAAATGAACGTAAATAAAGTAAATTTTAAAAAAGACAATTTTAATATTATATCCTCGGAATACTATTATTAAGTATCTTACATAATATGATATAACTACACAGGATACCCGAGTCAATTTCGCTACGGGTAGCCCCAGGCAAAAAGACTCAGGATTAATCGAGTAATAAAAAAAACGCGTGTCCATTCTTCCTCTATTCGCTCCAATGCCACACTTTAAGGACTTGACAGTCCGTCTCCACAGTTTTCTTTAACTCCAATGAAACAAACGTTCCCAGTCAATACGTAGGCGTTGACCTCGGTTTTCTTCAAATGTTTACCGTTATCTCGAAATGGCAGTACGTCATAATATACTTGAAGGGTGCGGGCACGGAACGTTCATTGAGACTTTGGTATTGGTCACAGCTTGACTTGGTCGCGTGATAATGTCGAGTTCTTTCATCGGAAATTTGCCGTATTTACATATTCAGAATGTTCAGCTTTGACCATTAATTGACAAAAACTGGTTCTTCCGCAACGAAGAGAGCTGTTGACGACGATGCGTGTTCTGGTAAGGCCACAACTTAGCTTCGAAACTGGCTAATAATGACTTTGTAGTCCGATTCGGTTTGTTACATAATTTCCACCCGTCGGCTTTTCGGGCAAAATTCGTGGAATAAGCTTTATTTTGAAGGTTTTGATGTTTAATGACAAAAAAACAATGTTGATAGTATGGGAGGCCATTATTTGAGGGTGGCTAGTTTGCGACAATATTCCAACTTATTTTTTTTTTTTTATCTTAACCTTATTTATAATGTTATGGACATATCAACTGTGATTTGGAAATGTATTAATATTGGCAGAGGTCGTGACTATATTTCAAATTTTTTCCCATCCCTTCATGAAGATATTTCCAAGATGACGACCATTTTTGGCGGGAAAATCGGCCGATGTGCTGATTTTAATTCAGTAGTAGTGTTTGGTATCAATATTTATGTTTTGGGGGCACAGATTCCATTTCTAACGGTTACAACTGTGTAAAACCAGCACATGTTCACCTATTTTGCATATTTCCAGATGGCGGCCATTTTTGGCCGGGGAAAATGGGACGATGTGCTGATATTGATTAAGCAGCCGACTTTGGTATCAATATTTTCAGGTGCATAGATTCCATTTCTGCCAGTTACAACTGTGTAAATTGATCACAAGTTTACCTATTTGTATGTTTCCAAGATGGCGGCCATTTTTGGCTTGAATATGGACGATGTTTTGATATTGATTAAGTAGTCGTCTATGGTATCAGGATATATGTTTTCGGAGCGCAGATTACATTTTCTCGTCGTGTAAGTGGTTACATACTTTATGTTTCCAACGCAACAACATTCCACATGCTCGTTCCAAATTCAGCATGGAAGGCAGTTGATATCATAATATATGCCACGAGGGCTTCTTAACAAGTATTTCATTAACAATCACATTGCCGCCAGGCTGTAACGAAGCTCCCGACCACATGCTTGCTACGCTGTTACAACCTTTATGTATATATAGGGAAGATACTGACCCTCGTCTATCAGATCCAGTCTAGCACCCAATGATGAAACATCAAGAAAACTATAAAATGTTCTTGGTTGCTTGACTTTTGGTTCTTCTCTGCTTTGATAGTGAATGAGGATGGGGTGGGCATGGCACTGTCTCTATAGGCCTGGCAAGAGAGCGCCTTAAGCCCGGTAGGCACGTCACGGGAGTGTACTGAGAACGTATCCCGGTCTGACTGATAACCGCGAGATCATGATGGGAACACTCTGCGCGTAGCCTGTGCTTGGTCATGAGCTTAGTAAGATCTTGACTGGAGCGCGCTGGGCGTAGTAAGCGCTTGGTGTGGTTGTGGCAAAAGCATGATGGGCGCGTGACAGCAATATTAGAAATATGCAAAATATGTGAACATGTAATCATTTTACAAGGTTGAAAATGTCAGGGATGGAATTTGCGACCCATACTATGAAGAGCTGTTGGTTTTTTGTCAACAAACATCAAAACCTACAAAATAAAGCTTGTTCCACGATTTCTACCCGAAAAGCCGACGGATTTACATTAAGGGTCGGACTATTGATTTCTGACCGGAATTGGTGAAGCCTATACACGTATTTCGAGATGGATCGCAGTGATGATAGAGTGTCCTGTTTTGTGTTGGTCCTGGGTAACAGTGAGAAAATCCGTGATGGACATAACCATAACCATTTAGATTAAATTCTCTAATTCTGTCTCTACCCTGGTTTCAGGCACATGGTATCTGACAGGCGTTTAAAGTCAGGAAGTGCGGTCCCCATTTTAATCAGTTGCAGGCTTGCTGTCGCGGTCGAAATTGTTTCCAATCCTTTTCCACTTCGGCTTCGGACATCAATGGCTGGGTAATTATGGCCAAGTAAGGGGTATCTGTCCATCCAAAATAGATCTTGGAAACTTATACAGTATCGTCTGAATACATCCACATCGCCCTTGTCTAGATTCGAGTTGACCGTTGTAAAATGGATAATTGTACTTAAAGACTGTTGTCAGACACAAATAACAACAGCACTGCAATACACACATGGTAACGAAATGTTGTATATATAGACCATGTGGTAAATAGGGGTATGGACATAGGCGTACGGACTCGACGAATGTTAGTTGGGGGGGGGGAACCTGAAATGGCCGAACAATTCAGGTTACAGAAGGCGGAGCGGGTCGCCTGCGAGATACGAAGGAGAGGAACTTACCCGCCCTCCACCTCCAACACCACCCCCACCCCACCCCCACCTCAAGGAAAATCCTGGCCAGAAGCTTTTTATGAAGTGTGTTTCACGTATCACCGGTGTCCTCTTACCAAGATAAATCTAGAAAAATACATTTGGAGCATGACATGGTTTTTAAAATAGATACTTTCCAACAAAATATTTATTAGGTGGTTATTTCCGATGACAACTTTGGTATATATGGAAAGAGGAAACATCCAATCTTACTAACAAAATACTGGATTCCCTGAAAAACACACATGGAGCACATACAGGACAAACATGTAAGGGTGACGCCAAAGGTTGCCCGCGAAGATTGTCTGATCTCTCAGCGTTAGTGAGCGCTTGGCGTATATGTTCATAAACTTAAGCGTGCAACAGTTTCTGAGATCAAAAATAAAAACACAGAAAAGGACGTGGGCAGTGGATAATCCGAAAATTTAATTTGGCTTCGCTATTTATGGTAAATGTACAGCGATTAAAGACAACATCATCTTCTATATGCAATGAATTCTCCCCCGGCATCGCACCCGTTGCTAGGTACCGCGTCAGCCAGACCACGTGATACAAACATGGACTCTTGTAATTGATTTTTTTTAAAGCAGGGGTAGTCCCTCCCGAAAACAATGTTTTGAGAAGGATTTGAAGCGAACTTTTGATAGATTAATTAGTTTGAATATATTTTTAGTCCAAATATATCATCAAATCACCCAGTTTGTACGTGGGAAGGTATCTTTAATACCCAGACGCCTTTTCATGAAAGGTGTTTCACGTTTCACCAATGTCCTCTTACCAAGATAAATCTGGAAATATCAGATAAATTTATACATAAAATGGTCCCGTGATACATAGTCGTACGAACTGGATGAATGTTTGAAAATGTATCTGGCCGCAAACGCGTGTTCCTGCTATTTCAGCCCGTGAAGACAGAAATTTCAATAAGGTCCAATATAGCCTATCTTAGGGGACTTACCTGAATCCCAAATCCCAAACAACCAATCAATCTTCGCGGGGTATGGGCCCGGGGCCTTACTTACGCTCCCCGAGAAAATTTTGAACAGTTTTTCTGCTATTCAAGCCCGTGAATTAAGCAACTTCAAACTTTCCAATCCGTTTGCGACCGGAATCCCACTCTATGCCGACCTGAATTCCAACCATCCAATCAGACTGTTGCCCTCAGCCCCCACCCCCGCCCCTGCATCGTACGTCTATGGGCATGGGTGACTTTGGTCTACTATGGGATGATGCTCATTTCAAAACTACTGTGTTTTAGTTACATGTGTAAGTAGAGACCTCTGCCCCAAATATTCAACCTACCCTCCATCGAATTCTAAATGCCAGTGGATCTTTTTGTCCAACTCAATCGACTATATATAGACACACGTTCCTTGTCAGCTTCCATCAAGAATGATTGTATTCTAATAGTAAGATGTGTAATGTAAGTGATCAATTTGCCTTTTGCGGGTCTTTATTTTGGCTTCAAATGTTATATAAACTAGTATTTAGACATTTATTCAAAAGACAACACTACTATAATTAAATCTCTATACCATTGGACGGACGAGAATTAAATGGATTGACATACGATGGCCATTTAATAATCTAATTTAAAAATAAACAAAATATACTACATCTTCAAACACCGATAACTTCGCTCAGGATAAAGTTATTTGGATGAAATTTTCAATATACTCATTTCTCATTATCTATTTTAGAAATATTACAGACAGAGCGGTCACTCTTTATGTAAATCTTACTTAAAGTTACAATTTCATTATTTTTATGTCTTTTGCTCAATAGGTTGTCAACTCACTATTATACGATCATAGGTGTCATTCTCACACTTAAAACTCATTTACACCGGAAATAATAACACAATTACCTCCCTTGTTTTCTATTTTCCACCATGGAGTAGCTATCCTCAAACGTTTGAATTTAAAGAGGAAAATGATATTTTTGCCAATTTCTCAACTGGCAATAGTGAATTATAGGATTAATAGGATTATTCTTTAACAAGGTAGGACTGTTTATACATACCATCTATTTAAGGCTTTATTTTAATAAATTTTAAAAATGTAACGTAAAAATATGAAATTGCAACTTTAATGCGTCTTGTCTTTAAGAAGGACAACCAGACAGTGTGACAACAATGTACGACCAAACTATACCGTGGGCTTGTAAAACACAAAACAAAGACACGAAAAGAAAATACCTGTGGAATGAATGCTGGTGTAAATAGGAAAATGGCTACGATTTGCTTTATATGGAGCCGGGGTTTTACCATCAATTACCACTGATTTCTTCAACTTGTGATCATATATTATAAATACACCTCCTGAAAATGAACAAATTGTGTATTGTGAGCTTTTAACAAATAATTATATAAGCACCATATTCATAATTTCGAAATATTTAATTCTAGTGACAAGTTATTCAACCAGCGGCTGCCAGGCAGGACAGGAGCGACGACAATATACGTCCACATGACTTGGTTTTAATTTGTATAACTACTACTGCAGTACTGTATATTTATAACTACCACTGCAATACAGTATATTTATAACTAATACTGCAATACAGTATTTTTATAACTACTACTGTAATACAGTATTTATATAACTACATGTACTACTGTGCTAAAATTGTTTTATAAACAGTTAATATGATTCAAATGCTGCCACCTTAATTTTATGAATGACTAAAATCGATTTCAAATGTTAGTTTAATAGCCTATACATGTATATCTTATCAGTGATCGGGGAATGATGCCATATTGCAGTTTTATAGCTTCATCTATATCGTATGCATTCAGAATAATCATTTCGTTCTTATTCGTGTGATGATAACAAAAGTTAACGTTGATGGTGTGGTCTTGATTTTAAGGATAATTGGGTCAAAACTACTACAATTTTATAGTATCAACCTTACCTTCTGTTTGTCAGGCAATGGTAAATTATTCGCTTACATGATTTGTCATTGTGGTTCCTGTCACTTTGAATCGGTCGTAGCAGATAAATGACATTGGACCCTGCCATCGTCTAGATTCATTTCTTCTGGTTTGCATAGTACCAATGGAGATTTAGGGGTATATGTTTTTCAAAGTAGCGCCAAAGTCTACATCAGTTACTACACCTCCCCTTGGGCCGTAATAGCGAGCTGTTTTCCAATGGGTGCTAGCTTTTTTTTCGCACGTATACAGTGAATGGCCATTTTGCTCAGTAATCCCAGCCAGAATTTGGCTATTTTCTAAATTTGCGTTAAAGTTTAAAATATTTGTTTTAGAACTGAAACACATTAACTATTAGTCAATCCCAACGCTAAAAACATCAACAGAATTGATTGTGTATATCTGAAATAGACCCGACCGACGCACAAAATAGTGCAATATGGCGGCCTCTTTGAACAACCCTCGCAGACGCTGTCATTGAAGACAACGTCAATTCTATGAGTTGTAGATGTTATTTTTGTGAAAAATCATTGAAAGAAGAGAGAACATGTTGGGACTGTACGAATTATATAGTCTTTATGGGTGCAACGAACACGATGCTGAAGATAAACCTATTGTTTACAATGTTGACCTCATGACCCATTGACGCCAATGTCATGACCTGTGATGTGTAGATCACGTGATATGGATATCATGGCTACTGACTGGGTCTGAGATACTTCTCCGCAGGTAGCGTGTCTCAGATGTTCAGAATGGTGCGGGGGTTGTCACATTTGGATAGCATTCAACTGTGGTTACGAATAAATGTTACCCAGTAACCACAGTGGTTACGAATAAATGTTACCTCGTAACCACAGTGCTTACAAATAACGACAGCCCCGCAAATATTGTATTTATGAATATTAACCCTATCCCATCACGTGGCAGATACAGTATCTATAATATAGGATTACACTAACTCTAACCATGAGCATTAACCTAACCCAACACTACATATACTGTGGTTACGAACAGCCTCTTATTATGAGTGGTTTAGTCGCGTATAGCATTTTCACAGCAAAAATCGGATTTGAATTTTAAAACAACAATATTTCGTGTGTTTTTGCGTATTTCATGGTAATACTAATACTAATGATTAGATGGTGTAAATGCAATTAGTGTCTTACCTCCGCCAATACCAGAACTATGAGGATGCTGAACACCACAACATAACAATGTAGCAATAGCTGAATCTACAGACGAACCACCAGCTTCTAAAATATTTCTGAAACATACAATATTAACATGCATTATTGTCATATACTCCCTTTACTAAACCAACTTATTCATATTATTAAGGAATAGTGGTCTGAAGCCTTCTTGAGTTCTTTGTGTTAATAGAGTTACTTCCCTTGATTAATAAAAGGCTTTGATCCTAGATGGAATTCTGGGATGGAGTGAAATGGAAGATGGCTGTTTTTAATTAGCTCTTCTGATTGTCATAAACAATCCAGGCCATCTTGTGGCCTATACACCCCAATACCACATGGTGGAGATGCCAAACTCCCATTTCTAGTATGTAGAATCTGAAGAACTAGTTTACAAGTGATATTTTTGATTTGTTACCAAGAATTGACTTGTGATGTGAGGAGCACATGTTTTGAGATTTGGACTCTAGTTTGTGGAGCATATATTCTCCCATTATTCAACAGATTTTGGGAATCTACTTTATTCTGAGGAGTAAACTTTCATCAGAAGTAGACCTAGTGAGGCCTGATTAAACTCTATTTGTGTGAAATTAGTCATTCAGCAGATATTTGGAACCTTTATTTCTGAGAACTACAAATTCATCAGACTTGACTTGAAATAGTGAGGCCTAATTATAAACTCTATTATTAATTTGTGTGAAATTAAAATCTAGCCTAAATTGCTTATGTACAGATCCAGAGACATTTCAAATAATCCAAATGAATAAATCCATAAACATGTAGGCCTACACTGTGTTATAAAGGCCTAATGGAAAATCTGTTTTGACATGAGTGCCAATTTTCCCATGTTAAAGTGTGGATGCCTAGAACTCTAACTACTACTAGCCTAGATCTAATTCATTTATAGTGACATAATTAATGAAGTATAGACTACAGTGTTGTACAGTGACAATCTTGGAATCAAGTTTGCTGTCTTGTGACTGTGTTGTGTAGCCTACAAGTGACATTATTTCAACTCAAGTTTGCTGTCTTGTGAACCTTTACTGAAGCCTGATGTATAAATCAATGACTTTTATCCCTAAAACTTGTAAAAGAGACAATATTTTTTTTCTTAAAACAGAATTGTGAAAGAAGGCTTTAGAAATTTTAATTTTGGCTTATAAGTAAATTCAAATTTACAACTTTCAAATTAATTTGGCAATATTCCAGTCAATTTATAATATAAACGTTTTCTGACACTATTTGTGTGAATTATGCTGAATGGTTGTGTGAATATGTTATTATTGTTTCATGATCTTAAATATTTAGATAATTTGTTTTGCTAATTGATGTTTTCCATGTTTACAAGATGCATTATTTCTTTCTTTATTGGTTAAACTTGTAGTCATCCTGATTTGCCAAACACAATTATTTTGATAATAGTTGCTCATATAGTGAACGAATTAATCAAGGTCAATCATATTCAATGTTTGGACAAAATTGTAAACATCTTTTAACTATTTTGATTATTTTGTATACAATTACAATTATGGCTAACCGTCGGAACGAGGTTGTTGAACGCAAGAGACCTCTGCCATTTGATAGATTTGATGGGTCCGTATTAAATAGGGATCTGGCCACTGCCCATTTTTTATCTTTCGAAGATTACCTTGAGTACTCTGATGAGGAGATGAATCCTCAGACAGTTCTTGCTATCAATAAGATGATAAATCTTTTCAAACAGTCTTTAAAAGGAACCGCGAGATTGTGGATAGAGGAGAAAATATTTCGAAGTCGTGAAGATTTACGCACGCAGTTTATTAATAGATTCTCCGAAAATAAGTCTTCATTTGGTTTACACCAAGCCTATTCCTCATTCACTTACGACTCTTCTATCACTCCTGTGGAAAATGTAGAAGGCTTGGAGAAATTAGCTACTCAACTTGGAGTAGGTCGCACCCAACTCAAACATAAATTTGTTTCAATCCTCCCTACAAACTGTCAACAAGTCGTTGCCATGTCAACAAATGACACAACTACTTTGAATGACATCACAACAAAAGTTCAGTGTTTCTTTGATATTAATAACCCTGACAAACCTTCTGGAACCGTAAATCCTAGTAAGGAGGTATCCTTCTATACATCTGACACAGATGATCTTTCTTCATTACGAAAAGAATTAGATGAACTTAAGTTGCATGTAGCATCAGATGATCATGTCAGACACCGATCCAAACATCCAAATTATAGTCATTCGTCTTATGCTCGTGAGCAATCACTTTCACCCAGACGACGCCCTTATTCACCTAGTCCCAAATCGCATACAAACAACCCTGGAGTTCGATCAAGACGTGATTATTCTCGTTCACCTAGTCAGTATAGATCAAGACGTGATTATTCTCGTTCACCTAGTCAACATCGATATTCCTCGTACACAAATAAGCATTATAAATATGTCAATAATTCTAGCCAGTCAGCTGATAGACCTATATTTTGTGACTACTGCTTGAAACCAAATCATACATGGAGATCATGTTTTCTGCGTCAGAAACACCTTTCTGCTAAAAGACAACAACAGGATTTTCAATAGAGGGAATTTATTCTACTGCTCGGAATGAATTCCCTAAATCTAATCAAACCAAACCTATTCATTCTACTTCAGGTAAACAGAATCATTCTAGTTCTGTTTCTATTCAACTTTCAAAACGAAATTATTGCAAAGGAGAATTTTTAGATGGTCATTCAGCTTTATTATTAATTGATAGTGGTGCATCAAGGTCGATCATTACGTCTTTACTTATTCAATCTTCACCCTATTTAAGTGGTTTGCCTGTTCATTTGTTGTCAAATCCGCTTAGCTTTAGACTTGGTAATGGCAATCTACTATTGTGTAAATATTCTATTAAGTTTGATGTGCTTATTCAAAATGTAAAGTTTACCATTCAAGCTTTTATTGCTGCCGATTTAATCGGAATTGATATCATCATTGGTCAAGAAACTTAGCTGATTTGAATGGAAGTCTTAGTTTTCGTGACAATGTATTTCATTGTAAAGCTACAACCATTCCATTTATAACCGCTCATAGTGTATATGTCAGACCTAAACATTGTCGTTACATCACTGTTCATGGTAAAGTTCCTCCTTTGTTTAGGAATCGTGAAGTTGTCATGTAATGTGGCAGTCATATTTCTGATATGTGTCCTTCAACAATTTTGGTTAAGCTGGAAAGAAATAAAGCCATTATACCAATTCATAACACAAGTGCTAAAACTTTGCATATCAGACCTACTCGACCAATTTCATTTATATCCCTTCAAGATATTGTAAGTTATGATAATATTAACTTCACTTCTGAGTATGATCAAAATAATGTTACATCATCAAGTAATATTAAGTCTGTTTTCAAGTCACAAATTGATTTGTCCAAAAGTGTGCTTGATCTTTCTCAAAAAGACAAATTCTATGATATGTTGTGTCAAAATCGGGAAGCTTTCAGTCTTCATGGTGAAATTGGAAAATGCCCTGACATACAAGTTGATATAGAAGTAAACGACAATCGCCCTTTCTACATTCGCCCTTATCCAAAAACAGAAGTTGAGAAAAAGATTGTGGATCAGGAATTAGAAAAGCTTGTCAAACTAGGAATTTTAGCTGTTGGTCACCAGTCGTATACATCACCAGTTCTCATTCTACCTAAGAAAGGTACTAAAGAAAAACGTGTTGTTGTTGATTTCAGGTATCTTAATTCTAAAATCAAACGTCTTAACCATCCATTTCCCCTATTATCTGACACCTTAAAGAGGATTGGTCATGCTAAACCTAATGTTATAAGTTGCTTAGATCTGAAGTCAGCATTCTTTTCACTTCCATTATCACCTAGAGCCCAACAATATACGGGTATTTCATCATATTCTGGAGGCAAACACTTTTACTTTAAACGGTTAACACAAGGCTTGAGTGTCTCACCAGCAGTTTTTCAATCTAAAATTGATGAAATATTATCAACAGTTCCTGGTAGTTATTCATTTTGTATAGCCCATCATGACGATATTATCTTATTCAGTAAAGACAACGAAGCTCACAAGAAGCATTTACAGTTAATTTTCAGTGCCTTAATTCAAAATGGACTCAAAGTTACACCAAGAAAATGTTCATTTTTCTGTCATGAAGTGGTCTATATGGGTCATAAGATTGCAATTGATAAACAAGGTTTAGTCACACTGCAGCCTTTGTCTGATAGATGCCGCTCAATCCAAAATATCCCAAGACCTACGTCAAGTAAAGATGTAAGAAAATTCATAGGTGCTGTTAACTATGTTTCCAATTTTCTCCCATACTAACAGTCAGTTCTACAACCCTTGCATAAAATTTCCAGCAAGAAATCATCATTTAAATGGTCTGCAGCACATGAAGAAGCATTTGTTAAGGTTAAGTCACTACTTGTACAACCACCTATTCTGTACATGCCTAATGATAGTGGTAGGATTACCCTTTATAGTGACACCTCAAGAACAGCTACAGGATCATATCTTACCCAAATTATTGATGGTGAAGAGAGAATTCTTGGATATTATTCAAAACGACTTCCTAAGGCATGCGAGCGCTATTCAGTCACAGAATTAGAATTATTTGGTCTTCTGATCAATATCTCTAATTTCCAATATCTACTTAGAGGAGTTGAATTTGATGCTTATGTTGATCACGCTGCCATTGTCCACCTTTGTAACTCTAAACGTCCACCTTGTACCAACAGATTACAGAAACTGTTAGTCAAACTTAGTCATTATGCCTTTAAGATTGGTTACAAAAAGGGCACAGAATTAGTCCTAGCTGATTTTCTCTCCCGAAGCCCACTCGAAAGTGATTCGGAGATAGACAGTATTGTCCCTACAGCATTCGCTATTCTGAATCCAGTAACTGATAGACCTGTAACTCGTCAATGGGCCAAGACACATAACATTTCTGTACCTGCAGTTTTCCCTTCTGCCCAACATCAGACAGTATCACATAATTCGGTTGATACAGTTAATAATCAGCCTTCTGATGTTCAGAAAATCCCGACAATTTTCCAATCTCCCAAACGATCTCATATCAGGATATCAAATGATAGTTCTATTAAAGCATCATCTACCACACAAGACCCAAGGATTGTGGATAATGCTTTTCAACCTGAATCACCTGAAGAAATCGAGATACCAATTGAACTATGTATCCCACCTACACCTGTAGTTCATAATGCGGATAATGTTATTCGCACACATTTTCCTAAACAAGCTCAGCTAGATAAACTATTAAAAGTTATCAAGAAAAAGATAATCCGTGATTATAATTTACCAGTAGATAAAAATCAACTACGGTTAGAACAAGAAACTTCTCCATTCTTCAAACCTGTATATGATTTTCTCAGTCATGGTATTCTGCCTTCACACCGTAAAGCAGCAAAATCAGTCAAACACAAAAGTGAAGAATATATTATATGTGATTATATTTTGTTTCGTCTTCTCATACATAATGATAATACATTTTCTCTTCAGCTTGCAATTCCAGAATCATTATGTCATAATATTATTGCTATATATCATGATAGTTTATTATCTAGTCATCAAGGTATTGTAAGGACATATCTCACAATGCGAAAGTTATTTTATTTCCCTAGTATGTTTTCTACCATCTCATCATATATCACTAGTTGTCATAAATGTCAACAATTTAAAGGGAAAACAGACAATGTTCGGATGTATCATCCACGTATACCAACAGAGTATTGTACTTTTGATAAAATATGTTTAGATTTCAAATCTATGCCTGCATCATCAACAGGATTTAAACATATTATGGTAGTCTGTGATGAAATAACTCGTTTTCTTATCTGTATTCCCCTCAAAATATTAGATGCTGAGACTATTTGTGAAGCTATTATACAGAAGATTAATAACTGATGCCGCTTCATCGCTCACAGGAAAACTTGTCTCTATTCTTTGTTCTGCATTACAGATTGATCACAAACTTATCAGTGTATCTAATCATGGTAGTCTCATGGTGGAGAGACATATTAAGTCAATATCAGACTTACTCAAGTTCAATTTGAACCAATATGGTACCGACTGGGTTCGATATGTGTCAACTTGCACATATGCATACAATTCCTTTGTCTCCCCACAATTAGGAAATTTTAGTCCATACGAACTTGCCTTTGGTAAGCCACCAAAGAATCTTACTTCCTTAGCTTGGAATTTCGATGGAGTTAGTAAATCCTATGAGGAGTATTTAAGTCATTTAAAGCAAAAATTCAATGCTATATCATCTTCTATGCTTGATCTTCAACGTAGACAACAAGAACATCAAAATATAAGCATTTCTCACAGTATAAGTAAAAACCCTATTTATGGCCTTGGACAATTTGTCTATGTATTAAAACCATCTTCTTCATCTCTTACTTGCAACTCTCGGAAGATGAAGGCGGAATGGTGTGGTCCCTTAGTGGTTCACCAAATCTTGGACAGAACGCATTATATACTTTCCACTTTGGACGGAAAGATATTACAAGATGTTTATTCTATAAATAGACTTAAACCATGCTTTGTTCGTTCTAATGAGCCAAATAAACGTCTAACTCATATTGATCAATTACGACAACATCTTGGTAAAACTGTAAATGGTAATGTTCATGTAGCTAATGATTTGACTTATCAATACACCGATGAAAATGGTTTGGTTTTGCCAAACTTTGCTGATCAAAATGTTGTATTTAATAGAGTTACTACACGTTACACTATATCTCAATGTGTGAGTTATCTAAATGATAATAAGAATTTAGCTTCAATATCTAAATTATGTCATACACAGATGGAAGAACAATTAAATTACCTAGTTGATGTCAATAATAATGATAATGTTTTTCATATCAAGAAAGGTAGAATTAAGTGTGGAAATCTACAGTTGTTATTAAACTTTAATGATGATAAACCTCATGAATGTGAATGGGTCAATATAGACCAATCTCCAGATTTAATTGACATAACTGAGAAATTACTTAGTAATAATAATCTTAGGATTACAGGAAAATTGAGTAAATATTAAAATGTGATTTAATAATGTTCTTATTGCATGTTTATACAAAATTGTTATTAATACAATTCTCTTGTTGTTAGTATACCTTGTAATGTATGTATTTTCAATCCTAATTCACATTCATTGTGATGTTCAAAACTGTAGTTGAGATTGTATTTGAATTTTAGGAATAATTAACGCATGTTTGTTTATAAGATACCTCTGCATAAAGGTTTGAGCAGTACTCAACAATTTAAGAATTTTAAGAAACATGTAAAATTCCACTGACAATTTGATATTTTAAATGTTCAACTTTCATGTTTTTAAGTATTTTATTTGCTTGTAGTGAAGTATGATAGTGTGTGTATGCTATAATTTTGCTTCATGGTATAAGTTAACGTTTCATTTCTAAATTTTAATTCCTTACCGGAGTTTTTGTTTGAGACCGGGGGATGTCATATACTCCCTTTACTAAACCAACTTATTCATATTATTAAGGAATAGTGGTCTGAAGCCTTCTTGAGTTCTTTGTGTTAATAGAGTTACTTCCCTTGATTAATAAAAGGCTTTGATCCTAGATGGAATTCTGGGATGGAGTGAAATGGAAGATGGCTGTTTTTAATTAGCTCTTCTGATTGTCATAAACAATCCAGGCCATCTTGTGGCCTATACACCCCAATACCACATTATAACACTTTCCAAAGCAACTGAAGGCACATTTCTACTGTGGCGATTTTGTCATAACTATTATAAGATGACTAATTATTCATTTAAAAAATTGTAGAAAAATGTTATATTTTCAATTAAAAACACTTTTTTTGTGGATGTAACTTTATGACCCAATTTTGTAGGGTTTTCGGCAGTTTCTTTCATGAATTTGGGAAAGAGCCGTTGCATCCACTCCTATGGTCATCTTCAAAATGTTAATGTGTGACGTATATTAAAATAAAGTGTGGTAGATTAGACTACCTTCCGATTCACCTTATGTCGACCTATTTTCTTGACAAACGAAACCAAAAAAATTGAGTAAGGCTTTATTATATACTTACTTGCCAATAAGAGAACATCGTTGACTGTCTGCAGCCACAGCCCCAACTGTAACTAGTTTAATTTGATGATGGTGGGTTGGTTTGAAATGATGTATAGCCATATTTATCACACATGTTATAAAAATCAAAACTAGAACTAATTTTAAACATCTTGAAGTGGATCTAGAAGCCATGGTAGGTTCTAATATGTTGTTGTCACAGCCAGTCTTATGAACACTGGAACATAATAATATAAAAAAAACACTAATGGTGGATCTACTTCACTTTAAAAGTTACTGGTGTATAGTGATTACCTCATGACTGGACTTGATTATACTAGTATCAGCTGTAAACTATGAACATAATGCATAATACAAATTATTGTAATATGTATGCATTTAATGGGGATGGGTAACTAGTTGTATAGATGAAACATATTTTATTAGATAAGAAAATTTACATACTATATATGGATAAAATAACAAGCATTGCTGCTTATGCAAAATAGGTAAAAGTGCTTCCATAAACATTGCTCATTAAAAGGTTTGAAGACTGGATATATTCAGCTAACATATGTTACCGGGTAACATCAACTGAGCTTTTTAAAGAGAGAAGTCCGACAACCTGTTTGGCGTCAAATTTTATATTGAATTAATATTACCACATGCTTATTCAATTTCATTGATGTAAAACATTAATTGTGGTATCACACACGTCTGTATCATTATTTCACGTTTTGAATGCCAATCCTATCCCACCATCCGATGATAAGGGATAAAGCACACGGCCGTTACACTTTTCTCATAAAATGTTGTTTTACAATTTATTTCATGTCCTGACTTGCTTTCAGAAGATAAGGAGTAATAATAATACATGTACATCAAATATTATAATAATAGTAAGGTGGCTGATGGTAGCCCTGAAACATTAGCGACGGATTACCAATTGCGCAATTCGAACACCTGCGCCAGGAGCCCCTAGGAAAGTTAGAATACAGAAACGTTTGAATAAAAAAAAAATCAACTAAAATATATATTCTACTAAATTTACTTATATTAAATTTTGATTTTTATATTGTAATTTTAGGGGGGTTGGATGGCTAAATGGTTAGCGGGCGCGCGCTGTATCATAAAGTCTGTCATTGAGTGGACTGGCGTCATAACTCCGAAACCGGAAGTGGTAGACTAACGTCACCTGGCCTATGTTACTCCCCGGTCCGAGCTTCCCCTATACCCCAAATTTCAGACTCGGGGCAGACCTAGTGTAGCCGCCAACCCCGAACAGACCGGCTTCGCTCGGGGGTCATAACGCCGAAACCGGAAGTGGTAGACTAACGCCACCTGGTCTATGTTACTCCCCGGTCCGAGCTACCCCTATACCCCAAATTTCAGACTCGGGGCAGATGTAGCAGCCAACCCCGAACAGACTGATTTCGCTCGGGGGTCATAACTCCGAAACCGGAAGTGGTAGACTAACGCCACCTAGCCTATGTTACTCCCCGGTCCTGGCTACCCCTATACCCCAAATTTCAGACTCGGGGCAGACCTAGTGTAGCCGCCAACCCCGAACAGACAGACATACAGACAAACGACAGTCACAAATATATATATATATATATATAAGAATTACATCATTTGAAATGAATTAAATCGCCTCTGGGTTCCATTGTGATTCAGGAGTAACTGCACAATTTGGCATTGTTGAAGATTAATTGTACTGTTTGGATAGCAACGAATCCTTTCGTTCAGTAAACAATCTGATTAAAACATACACTGTAAATATTATTTGGGTATTTTTATCGTAAATTGACTGGTAGAAAGTTGCCAGTAAAATGACTGTATTTTAACACTGACTTGTAAATTTACACCTAAGTGGTAGATTTAGATTTACATGTACAAACAGCTTGTAAATTTACAGTGAGTGTAAAATCACTTCGTTGTAAATTTGTATTTGTTCTTGTAAATAGAAAGTGGGGTAAATTTACATGTACATTCACTCTAAATTTACACCGTGGTTGTAAATTTACCTCAAAGTTATCTTACAATCACTGTAAATTCACACTGTGGTTGTAAATTTAAAATACAGTGATTTGACTGGTAACTTACTGCAGACCTTTCAGCCGAGCATGCAAAACACCGTTCGATAATGCAAAAATAATGGGGTTTAACGTCCAACTGTTCTGCTTCTTACAATGGAAAGAGTAGGAGGCATGACACGAAGCAAAATATTCTACACAACCCTATGTATGGCATATCGCTGTCTTCATACGCCAGTTAAGTGCTTTCAGATTTTGAATAACCTATTTCTCTAAAAACAGACTAATCTGACTAACATAACAGTAAATATGTTGCACAAAATTCGACATGTGATCGAAGGGGAATAACCGATTTGAGCACTATTTGACAGTAAATTTACAATTTGTTGTAAAAAATACTATTTTAAATGGCATGCTGTTAATATACAGCTCACATAATGTAAACTGACATTACCATTGATGTAATCTTACATGTGGCCAAAGGGGGAATAATCGATGTGGCCACTACTTGACAGTTAATTTACAATTTGCTGTAAAAATAATGTAAACTGCCATATGGTTGTATTTCTACATTAAGTTTGATGTAATCTTAAATAAGCTTTGTATTTATATGCATTTACATCGTTTTAAATGTAAGTTAACAAACCATGTGATATTACAAATCGGACACTGAATTTTAAAGGAGCTAAATCGCTAACATTTGGGACCTAGAAATTGACACAAGTGGGTCGCAACTCATATAATACTGTAATATGAATGTATATAAACTGATTTACATTCAATCGTTTCCGTTTTTACTCTAATTTCAAATCAGTTATGTTCCGTGAAATAAGCCAGCAGTCTCAATCGAATGCAAATTCCTAGCGTCTGGTTATTCCAGTCTACATACCCCGTTTGGTTTGGTGATATATGATTAGACTCGTTCCTCGAGTCTCTTGCTAGAACTGGGGCTGAAACGCATTATGGTACACGATTCGTGTACCAATGGTAAAATATTTATTTTGTCTTAAATATTGGATATCAGAAGCCCATCTTTTTCCGGTAAGATCACAGCATCAATGTTGTTTTAATTGACAAATAATTCGTGTTTTAAATGTTGAAGATTTTGGATGATATCGAGTTAGAGACTTAGCTACTTTAAGCATACTTATAACTGTAAATATACATATAATTTTTTACAGTTTAATAATCGCGTATACATATTACAGTGTACTGGTTTTCATTTTTATACGTGCACGCCAATGTGTACACAGGGCCTCGGTTTTTCGTCCTATCCGAACGACTAGACAGCTGTCCACGCCGGATAAACTTTTTCGGTCAATGCAGGGATCGAACATCCGACCTCCAGGCTAGCGAGCCAGCGTCTTACCCACTTAGCCACCGTGACCCCCCTCATAATTAGACTATAGACGAAAAGTAATGAAGACTTAAAAGGTCTATCAATGTTAAAATTCTAAAGAGATGTACAAGTACACGTTTCCTGTAAATCTTACACAAATCCCATATTTAAATATGTTTGAATAGTAGAATTACCCATAAAAACTGTTAATGTACAACATACATGTACGATAACAAACATAGTTGTAACAATACAGGTTACATGTAAAAAAAAAACAACAATACGGTTCTGTCTACACTTTTATGGTTAATTTAACCATCTTTTACAGCCATACAGTAAATTTATAGTATAAAAACATGCAGTGGTATTTTTACAGCATTATGTTTTAAAAAAATACGTATTTTTCGTTGTAATTTTACATATATTTTTAACAGTGCAGACATTATAAATTACCGGCAAAAAACATCGCAATAAGACTAATTTCCTATTCTTTTAAAAATCTTCGTACGTTAAAAAATATTTCATTGGCGATATCTGAATAGCATTTTCTTTCATAATTCATTTACCAGCGACTCGAGACTGAAGCATTTTAAAATTTGCAAGAAAAGGAGAACGGTCGGTATAAATGTATTGGGAAAATTGAGAATATTTTCTGAAAATTGAACGAAAGCACGTGGCCAGATAAGTTTTTTTTTTAAAATGGGTGTAAAATGTTTCTTAAATAGTTCCAAAGAAAATCCCTAAATATCAGGGCTACAATATCGATAAACACATTCCTGTTTCGAATTCATCGGGGGTTTATTGTCCATTTTACCATGCCTGAATAATGTTCTAATAGACAATTCGAAGCAGCAGTGTAAAGTAATGTAGCCTTAAAAGGTCTATCAATGTTAAAGTTCAAAAGAGATGTAGAATTACACGTTTCTTGTAAATTGTACACAAATCCTGTATTTAAACATGTTTGAACAGTAGGACTGCCCATAAAAAGCAGTCAAAGTACAACATACATGTACTTTAAACCAATCAATACAGATTACATGTAATAAAAATACAGTTCTAACTTGTAAAACTACACTTTTATTGTTAATTTACCAATTTTTCTTACAGCAATCCCATGTTACCTCGCTAATATAGTAAATTTATAGTATAAAAACATGCAGTGGTATTTTTACAGCGTTATGTTAAAGAAATTACATATTTTTCACTATAATTTTACATTTATTTTTTATGTGCAGACCCTATTTCGAAACTTCTTTATAGTTCGAAATTTCGTTTGCTTGTCTAACCGAATCTGGAAGTGTTGTTAAATAACCCGCGTTCTGTGTGGCGTGAAAGAAAGATGAGCCAATCAAATTGACTGTTACGTCGCGTTCTCATCGTGTGGTGTGCGGAACTGTGGGTAGACATTCGCGGCGATAGAAAACAAAATAAAGCTTGTATTTCCGATTAGCTGCTTGGAACACCGATGTCGATTAGTTAATCGAATGACTGACATCGTAGGGTAAAAAGTCGTGCGTATGGTCCCTGACGCGACCTCCCATTACAACTTCTCAGATCTAATGTAGTGGCACACTGATCAACAGTGAATATTCGATATGCCGCTAATATCACGGAGAGGGATGACATCGATAGGGGTTAATGAGCTCGCAATATTAACTTTTTTCCTTCTGCATATTAAATATTCTAGAACATTTTTGCAGAAATAGAACACTGGTTAATGGTATTTGAAGTAAAATAAAGTATATAAAATGAATAAAAGGCACTATATTCTGCCCGGACTAGTTCACTTTTTTGTAAACACTGCACCATCACATGTAGAATGCATACGAACTTTATAAAGGTTAGTCATCGC